TCCTTCCACTACTTCTCATGATAGAAATGAATTGTTAAGTGTAGCTACACCCGTGGTTGGTGGGTTGGTAATGATGCATTTTAACCATGTGTTCCCTTATGCAGAGTTTTTACCATGTGCAGTAGATAGAAGAAATAGTAGGGAAAAGGTTAATCATTTAAGGTTAAATGTAATTGAAATCAGCATTTGGGTTGTTAATGGGGCTGTTTAATAGCAACAGATTTGTGCAAACAACCCTTCCCCCACCCTGAGCCTGCTTGAACTTCCTGTTTATAGTAATCCTGCTTCTCTGGGATTACCTCTCTCTTCGCAGACACTCTAAATAGTACTCATTTTTCCAATAGCTTCCCATCTAATATAGGAAAGGCTCTTTTAATCTGGCATCATCACTGGACATTAGAAAAATAAGTGAGTGGCTTTGAGTTATTAACTGTGTGTCTATGCCAGAGAGGTAACGGGTGAGCAAATTGTCTATTTTATTAATTACAACAACAGAATGTTGGGTGAGAATTTAACAGAAGCAGAAAACTATTTTAATAGAAATATAATTTATTTTTATTGCAATTGCCTTTGACTGAATTATGCCCAGAGCAACAGTATCATAGATACTAAACAGTTTTACCAATAAATGAGAAATACATTGTGGCAATTGCAGATGCATTCATTCACATTTAACCCAACAAGCAACTCTCCAGTATCACTGTGGTGTCAGAATGAGGTTGAGTTTTAATCCGTTTATAGTTGTTTGCTTGGCAATGCTGAAAGGAACTGATCACCAAAAAGAAATCTGTGCAGGACAAAATACAGTCACTTCCAGGGATTGCTAAAACTTATTCACGGCCCCTCTCCCTTGACCAAACAAGATCATTTTATATCCAAGCTGATCTGAGATAAAACCATGTACAAAATTAGTAGGCTAAAGAGAATGCTGCAGAGGAAACAAAACAGATGTGTTAGTAAAAAATTTAGCTTGCGAGGTGGGATATGGTAAATGTCTCCCAGCAGGGGAAGATCATATGTGAAGAAAGATAAATAGAATTTCTGTGATGTATTTTTCTTCAGCCCCCACCCCGTTCCTCGTAGGCCACTGGCTAGCAGTTCTTTAAAGGTATTTTTCCCTCCTTGCCATTCTTTATTATCTAGGATCTAGTTATCTTGTTAAATCCAAAGAAGAGCAATTCACTCCTTGCTTGAAAGGTCACCTTTGCCTTGTTGCAGAGCATGCTCCCTGAGCCCTGCTGGCTGCTGCTTCTCCCTGCTGTCTTCCAGCTCTAACCTCCTTATAGATGCAGCACCATGGAAACAGGCCCAGTGTTGAGCAGACTGCGCACTGCCAGGAACCTTGTTTGTGTCACCTGAGGGGCAGGATGCAGCATGAAGGATGAGGAGAAGGGATATTACTAAACGTGTATGGATGGAGTAGCTTTTCTTCCTACCCAATGTTCCTGCCTGGCTTAAAATTCATCTGAAACTTTTAACCAAAGGCTTGAGATATAACTACTGCTGGATTTTGTGCATTTCTTCCTCTGCACACCTGGATTTCTTTTCTGAGATGTAGCCCAGAAAAAGATTTGGAGGGGCTGTTATGTGGCACCACTATGATTTGGGGGTGCACGGCCAGATGGCTGTACAATTGCTTCATGTAGGTGTGCTTGATTGATGTAAATTGGAATGTGTTGGCCATTTTAACCCTAGGATACTACAAATGTGATGGCTTAATCAGGATTTGTGAAAAGTTGCCTTGTTTTGGAAGTGGTAGTCTGTCTTCTCCTCCCTTTTGACCACCCCATATTCTTCTGCTGTGAGCTCTTGGGGCTGGAATTAGCTGTGGGCACTTTCAGACATTTCTCTGGCATCATTCACTAAAGGACCATCTTTTGGAACTGAATTTGCTGAGAATTTGGGAGAGTTGCCACTTGGGTAGCCAAGTGACCTCAGCAGTTCTTTCTTTAGAGGAGAAATTTAAATTAGAGAGAGGATTTTGCATAGAATAATATTAAAGTGGTGCATTGTGGTGTGTTTATTTTAGACTTGCCCTACCTAATTGCAGCAAGTGTTCAATTATACATGGCTGAGGTTTTAGGTTTTCATTGGTACAAGCTGCTGCTGTAACCTATTATAAAAAAGCACAGTGCAGACAGAGTGCTCATACTAATGTTGTCAATTTGTATTTGAAATCTCTTTTTAAGAATCCATCTTATCAAAATGCAGCTGTTCCCTATGTTTAGATCATTTTAATATATTTAATGTAACCTACATTTTCTCTGAGAATGTCTAAAGATCCCATGTGAATCAACCAGCGTGCCAGAAGTAGCTGATCTTGTGCAAAACTAAAATGAGGTGAACTCTGCTTGCTTCTTAATATATTTATTCTTTGTAGTATCCATGTCTTGGTAAGCTGCCTTAGAACTGGTGAAGATGCAAACAAAAATGCATTTGGAGAAGGCTTCCTGTTTTCTAATATCCCTCAATAAAGCTGCTGCTATGGTATTGAGAGTTTTAAGATTTTTTAATATTACAAAGTATTAGGTTTTCTTAAAAAAGAGTTTCAAGGGGAAGTACAATTTTTCAGAGAATAAAGCTGCCAGCATAGCTAACAAAACCTTCCCAATCCTTCTTTGAATAACCATTTGTAAACGTTTTTGCTTTGAAACTAAGGGCTTGTCTACACTTAAAATGCTACAGTGGCACAGCTGCGCCTGTGTAGCGCTTCAGTGTAGCGCTTCAGTGTAGCGCTTCAGTGTAGACACTACCTATGCCAACAGGTAGCTAGTGGTAGCTAGGTCGACGGAAGAATTCTAGCACAGTCTGCATGGGGACTTAAGTCAGCTTAACAACGCTGCTCAGGGGGATGGATTTTTCACACACTTGACCGATGTAGTTAAGCTGACCTAATTTTTTAATGTAAACCAAGCCTACATTGTGGCCCAACTATGGTGGGAAACCTTGGTGAGAAAGTATTGCTTTAAAGTGCAGCTCTACTCTGAAAAGTGTGTGGAAAAATAATGCCAGCCTACTCTCACATCTGCTTTTCCTTATGCTTAGTCTTATTTGCTGTGCATTGCTGAATAGCAATAGGGTTAAGCATGTGCTTAAGTGCTTTCCTGAATCAAGGCCTGGAATAGCAAGTATGTTTTTACTGGTTTCAGAGTAGCAGCTATGTTAGTCTGTATCCGTAAAAAGAAAAGGAATACTTGTGGCACCTTAGAGACTAACAAATTTATTTGAGAATAAGCTTTCATGAGCTACAGCTCACCTCATCAGATTCAAAGTGAGCTGTAGCTCACGAAAGCTTATGCTCTAATAAATTTGTTAGTCTCTAAGGTGCCACAAGTACTCCTTTTCTTTTTATGTTTTTACTGTTTTTATCCCTGTTCATGAGTTGAACAGAGTAGAGTCAAATGCAGTAAGAGAGGCACCTGGATTCTATTCCTTGTTTACTATCAATCATTTCATTTACTCAGGGATGATCAGTTAGGCATGAGTAGCCCCACCAAAGTAGTGCCATTGAAAGCACAATTTTACCTGCAGAACCTTTTATTCCAGGTAGTGATGCACAAGGAGGAAACAACCTGAGGTGATAACATTTATTCTGGAGTCAGAAACCTGGTACTTTACAGTACCACTTTGACAGTAGACTGCACTATAAGAATTTTATCTCGCTCAGGCCTCGTCTACACAAACACATAGCTCACAGCAAGCTAGGATGAGAGTCTACTCTGCACTGGCCTGCGGCACAAGTGCATATGTGGACCCTCTGCTGCACACCAAAATTACTATAGTGCTCTTTGATCTACCCTGCTTTGAAATAGTAGATTAGAGCGCACTGACAAGCTTGTAGTGCATGGTAGCAGGGTCCGCATAGACACTTAGTGTCTGGCAAGCTAGATTTACACCCCAGCTTGTCACAAACTAAGTTTTTGAATAAACAAGCATGAACATACAAGTATCACATGGAAATTGAATTCTGAAAATATTGTAAACCGTTTGACATGCAAAACTGGTCCCAAAACTCTGAAGTTAGCTGGAGTTGTGTGTCTTCGAAAAGTCAGCAAGAGCCAAAAGGAGACTGATGGAAGGAGGTCTGGATAGATGACAAATGCCTGGAGTGATAGAGGATCAGAAGCAGACTGAAATGATGAGGGACATCCTTGGAGGAGTTAGAGGTGGGAGATTCCTGCAGTGGTCAAGGAGAAGGAACTTAGACCCATCAGCTGAAAAAGAGAATCTGTGTGTCCACTGGGAAGATAAAAGAGGCCTGGGGCAACCCCAGAGGAGGAATGCTGAGTGAGGCCAAAAAAGACAAGGGAGATGGGAACAGTTAAAAGGTGTAAAGACCAGCCAGACAGAGGGATTGCAAAATGTCAGTGTAGACAGCTGATCTGGGTAGGGTAAGGTGGCAGGGCATTTGCATGTTTTAATTGTTTTTGTTTGTTTTTGTTTCTATATTTTCTCCTCCACAATATGTAGAGGGAAATCCCACTGATTGAAAAAACTGCCTGTTTTAAAGAGGAAAAATCTCATTTTGTGTGTGTTTAGGGATTGGGGGGAAGGTGTTTGTTGCTATTAACAAAGCATTTGCTTAGTAATCAGCATTTAAATATTCCCAGTAGCATATTGTCTACAGTAAATACAGATTTAAAGATAAATCCACATTTTGTCAAGAATTTCTATTTTTCTTTTTTACTGTGCCAAAATGGATGCAACTTGTAGTTCTATGAATCTATATCTCCTGGATTTGGGTGGTGGTGGGAATCTATTTACTAGCCAGATGCTAGTACAACAATTTTGTACTGTATTAAAGAGTTATGCGACACCTTGAATTTGAGAAACTGAATAAATAAGGCATGCAATTTATTTACTTTAGGCTTATAAAGTACTTATAAAAATTGTACAGACTGGTTAACCCATCAGTCTCAATCTTCCTTTGTTTCTGGATGTTTCCAAATCTTGTTTAGGAGATGACTCCCTCTTATTTTTCCCTTCTTGTCTGCTTTCAGATCTCGTGGACTGCCAAAGCTGAAAGAATCTCGTTCACATGAGTCTTTGCTGAGCCCAGGCAGCGCAGTGGAGGCATTGGATCTTGGGACTGAAGAGAAAGTTTTTGTCAAACCGCTTCACAGCAGTATCCTTGGACAAGACTTCTGCTTTGAGGTAAAGAAACGCCACCCCATAAAAGTACAGATTGCATAGTGTAGTCAGTCAGTATGCGTCCACAGTGGGCACTGTTTTGTGATTTCCTAAGTGGGTGATAAATCCGTTTTCTCAGACATTTGAGATTATGATGTAAACTATCTGATCGTAAGATTCTAAAGTCCTTGGCGCTAATGACATCCATCAGTCAATGGGAAGAAATCTTTTCAGTGATTATACTCTTCTAATTGAATGTCTGCATATCTGATACAAAACTAGGCATTTGTAATGTGCATGCAGATATATGGCTTAAGCTTGCTTAAGTACTCATCATAATCTGAATTCTCTTACAATACATTTTTTAAAAACAGTTAAAATATGACTAAATTGAGAAGTCAGCTGATATAAGAGCTCTGCTCCAAAAGCCCTGTTCTGGCAGGTTATTGAGGAAAAGCTTGAGTAAACAAAGACCTTGCAGGTTTCCAGAAGGTCAACAAACTTTAACTTCGTCAGGCAATCAAGGGATTAAATTCTGTGGCTCAGGACTTCTGCTGCCCACTGGCCTTCTCCCCCACTCCCCTGCATTCATATTATGGGGCTGGTAGCAAGAGCACCCCGACTGATCTCAGTTACCAAGATACCATGAGAAGAAAGTCTGTATGTTAGAAAGGTCTGGTAAAGTTAGTGGAGGGCTAATGAAGGTATATTACATAAGCGTGCTTTTAAATTGGATAAACCCTACCTAAAACGCATATCTAAAGTTGACAGGATGAACAGCATATTATCAAGTCTTATATCAAGGCCATCACCCTCAACACAACGTCATGGGCCCACTCAGTCTTCAGTGGAGTTATGCCTGGGTTGAATCTGGCCTCAGGTGTCTAAATCCCTGACGCAGAGATTGGTTTGCTACCTTAAAACTGCTCTATCAGAACACCACATAGATCAGTCTCATCCCTTTTCCTTAAGGGAACGTGTTCAGAAGTTGTTCCAATTCATTTCAAGGTAGTATCTGTTGTGCTGATATTGATCTCAAAGGCCCAAAGAGTTAAAGGTGTTCATAATCTCTTTCACTGTCGAACCTTAAACAGAGATAGGTAGGTTTGGAGTTATTGTAAACAGAGGCCTTTGTTTTACTCAGTAACTTGACAAACACCCAAAAGCATTTATTCCAATGAAAAATTTATTGATTAAATAAAAGAAGGAATAAGAAATCAAAACAGGCATTTATATTGAAACTCAAGTTGAGTGATTATGCAAAACAAACTTAGTCAAAACCTTTAAAGCCTTTCTCCTTTTGGAGGTAAAAGATCAGTCTCTTATTTTCAGAACAACTTTTCTTTGATGAAAAGGAAAGGGTTAATTTTACTCCAGCTTTGATGTGTTGAGGGCATTTACTTATCCTTTTCTTAACAGACAGACACAAGGTAGAGGAAAGACAGGTAAGAAAAGATGGGTGAAATACAGCTTTTCCTGATGTTTTTGGAACACTGGACCGCTGGTTAGTTACAAGAGGATGCTTTTGGCTGGCAAGTCGATCGTGACACCTGCTACTTGGATCCTGATTTACAATCTGGTCAGGGACATCATCTTACTGGATGTTTTCTTCATAGACAAGGCAGGCTTAGATGAATACAACATAGTTGACTTCAGGATTCGATGGAAAGCCAAGAGAGTGAGAAATAGAACAGAAGGAAAGAAGGGAGGACATAAAATAATACCACAAAGCAGGGGTTCTCAAATAGGGGGTCAGGACCCTCAGGGGGTCGCAAGGGTCTTAAATGCGGGCTTGCAAGCTGTCAGCCTCCACCCCAAACCCTGCTTTGCCTCTAGCATTTATAATGGTGTTAAATATATTTAAAAGCATTTTTAATTGATGGGGGGCTATGGCAAAGTGGGACTGTTCTTAATGTTTCCTCTGAATGCTGTAGGGGTGCCTCAGTTTCCCCTATGCATTTCTTAAGTCTCCAGGTGGTGGGATAAGAGAGTGTAATTGTTGCAGACCAAAGGGCCAGTGTACATAAATGGCCGACACTCTGTCTCCTTGGCAATTGATGGCCTGGGCCCTTCCCCACTGCAAGGTGATAGCTAAAGGGTTGGAGAACAAAGGAATCGGGTGACCTCCTGGCCCGGGAAAGGGACAAAGCCCGGAGGAGGAGCTGGTGGAGAGTGAGTCAGTTTCGGCATGCTGGGGACATGGAGTGAAGTGCAGACGTGGTTGTCTGGCTCACTGCCCCCCAAAATGGACCTGGCTGAGGGGTCCTAGTCTCTGTACCTACAAGCTCTGTTTTAGACCGTGTTCCTGTCATCTAATAAACCTCTGTTTTACTGGCTGGCTAAGAGTCACATCTGATTGCGAAGTTGGGGTGCAGGACCCTCTGGCTTCCCCTGGACCCCGCCTGGGCGGACTTGCTGTGGGAAGCGCACGGAGGGGCAGAGGATGCTGAATGCTCCGAAGTCAAACCCAGGAAGGTGGAAGCTGTGTGAGCTTTTTGCCCTGCAGACAGGCTGCTCACAGAGAGGAGACTTCACCCGAGTCCTGACTGGCTTTGTAGGGAGCAGTTCCAGAGCATCGCCCAGGGACTCCGTGACAACTGGGGTCACACTCAGAGGCTTGCTACGTGAAAGGGATCACCAGTAAAAAAGTTTGAGAATCACTGTAACAAAGGAAAGGAAAATGATGCAGGATCTTACGTGCCCCTGCAATGTTGGCAATTATATATATCCCCACTTATGGGCTTGAGGACTGGATGTCATGATCATATGATGACTTTCAGCACTCACCGGTGAAAACAAAGTACCTTGAACAAGCTTAAGGTCAGCAGGCCTTCTTCTCAGGAAGAAAGTCCTTTAGATGAGTCAAGGTGAGCTGGGATGAGTTGCAGTGCTGGCAGTTCGGGGGATAAACTGGGCCACCAGGTGGAATGGGAGAACTGAGCTGAGCTGATCATGTCTTTTTTTCAGTCTCTTTAAGAAAGGGTAAAAGTGGGTGTCATAGTTCATCTCCCTCGTTATTTTGTCCACCAGTTAGGCCTCGTAGCCATCACATCAATTTTGGTCTATTAGTTCTGGTTCCACATCTTCCAAAAATTGTTGAAATTATGCTTGCTAAAAATGGATTATATCAACATGGCCTTTTTGATTTAGATTAATCAATCTTCTTTGTCTGGTTCTTTTGCACTTGTTACAGCATTCCGCATTATAAACAACTTGACCTATTTTTCATGGTTATTGTAACATCTTACGAACTTTCACATACTTTTTACATCTGAGTTCACAATAGGGGTATACTCTGTAGGCTTAATAGTCACAACATATCTCATTGGCTGGAAGCACTTCCTGTTCTGCTTCAGCCTTCCTGGGTAGACGGAAGACAGCTGGCAATACAAATGCAGAGTTTAGTACTAACATTTAGTCTTAAAGTGCTTTGCCCATGCTCATACATCTGAATGGGAAGAACAGGGAGAGCTGGCAAGGCCAAATAAAAATTGAAGCAAAATGTGACTGTCTCCTTATATGCACAAACAGAGCTAGCATCAGTTTTGCTCCAGGTGGTGTTGTCTCTTCCAAAAGCAGAGTCAAACGTTTTGGCTGTTTCAGCCCATTGATGTGTATAGTACCCAGAGCATGCAATTTTTAGCTTCCCGAAGACAGTATTTCCAGTGACATCCAGCAGGGATTTTTGTTCATCAGACCTTTCATCAACATGTGACTAGCTCTCTCCCTACACCTGCTCCGTTAATGATCAGATTGTCAGCCTTGGGGACTTACTGGGATATTGCAGGTATCTAGAGGCTGCAGTTCAGTTAGCATGTGCACAAATTTCAAATTGCTGACTACATCCTTATTTTACAGTCTCTCAGAACATTTGGCTAGAACAGTGTGTTTCCCTTCAGTTTTATACCCATCTGAACTGAGGTTTTTTTCTCTGCAGTCTGTGCCCTTTTCAGGCTTGCTCCTTCCCTGCTCCCATATTTTGCTGCCTCTTTCATATTCTCAATGCTTGAAAGTCACCTATGACTTTTGCTCCTTTTTCTGCTTTGCAGTCTTGCCAGAACTGGACCTATTGTTTGTGTTTCAGGTAACCTACTCCAACGGCAGTAAATGTTTCAGTTGCTCCTCTGCAGCGGAGAGAGACAAGTGGATGGAAAACCTACGCAGGACAGTGCAGCCTAACAAGGTAATAGAAGAGGAAGCTGTAGGAATAATACCACCAGTAAAATGTTCATGGCATGACTGGATTCTTGTCCAGATGATATATCAAACCATTACAGAGGTGCTTACCTATTTAATTAGGTCAATCACGACGCCCCCCCCCTCCCCCAACCCACCGCTATACCTCAGACGTTCTTGTCAACTGCTGGAAATGGCCCACCTTGATTATCACTATAAAAGGTTTTTTCCCCCCCGCTCTCCTGCTGGTAATAGCTCACCTTACCTGATCACTCTCATTACAGTGTGTATGGTAACACCCATTGTTTCATGTTCTCTGTGTATATAAATCTCCCCACTGTATTTTCCACTGAATGCATCCGATGAAGTGAGCTGTAGCTCATGAAAGCTTATGCTCAAATAAATTTGTTAGCCTCTAAGGTGCCACAAGTCCTCCTTTTCTTTTTGCTGAAATGTTATGAATCTGCCAGCTTCTGGATGGCAGAAGTTAAGAGCAAGTTTGTGTTCTGAACAAATTTGAATACAGCTTTTCAAAGGTGATCAAATAGCAATGTATAAAATACACTCATTGCATGATCAGTATTTTCTGTTCGAAAAGAAAATGTTCTTTTTCCTCATCACTGTCTCTAAATCAATGCTGAGCTCTTTTTTCTGCACAGGACAACTGCCGTCGAGCTGAGAATGTGCTCCGTCTCTGGATCATTGAGGCCAAGGACTTGGCCCCCAAGAAGAAATACTTCTGTGAGCTGTGCCTTGACGACACTCTGTTTGCCCGCACCACCAGCAAAACAAAAGCAGACAACATCTTCTGGGGCGAACACTTTGAGTTCTATGGCCTCCCGCCCCTCCACAGTATCACAGTTCACGTCTATAAGGATGTGGAGAAGAAGAAGAAAAAAGACAAGAATAACTATGTAGGACTGGTCAACATTCCCATGGCCAGCGTGACTGGCCGTCAGTTTGTGGAAAAGTGGTACCCAGTCAGCACACCTACGCCCAATAAAGGGAAATCAGGGGGACCTTCCATTCGCATCAAGTCCCGATACCAGACCATCACCATCCTCCCCATGGAACAGTACAAAGAATTTGCAGAGTTTGTTACTAACAACTACACCATGCTGTGCTCAGTGCTGGAGCCTGTGATCAGTGTGAGGAACAAGGAGGAAATGGCCTGTGCCTTGGTGCACATTCTTCAGAGCACTGGCAGAGCCAAGGTAGGAGCGGAAGGAACATCTCACAATGATTTCTGAGACTCATAAACATTTCTCATGGTTTTAAACATAAATAGCATGAGGGGTGGACAGGCCTGGGAATGGGAGTCAGAGGAGGGGAACACTACCAAAGGGGAGAGGCTGCAGAGGGGAAGCGAAGTAAAGCAGAATGAGCATTTTAAAGAAGTTTGGGCAAATCCTTTATAAGGGGAAGTCAATATAGGTGTGCAACACATTACCAGAAGTAGAATCTGTAAGTGTGAATATATTCCAAAGAGCTAGATGTAGACACTTAGAGGAGATAACTATTGCAGGGTTAAAACATTAGCTATGTAGGTGGAAGGACTTCATAGCATCCTACCATCACAGAATGTTATGTCTGTACCTTGAGTACATTGAAATATTTCATGCATTGCTGGATAGATGATGCACCATGAACACTGTAGCATCAAGGGACTTGCAAATAAAATTTTGTAAATGTGTCTTATAAACAGTGAACAGCAAAAGTTCACCACAGTTAACATGAGGGATTAGCACTTGGATTAGCCTAGCTGGATTGTGAGTAACCACTCTGAAAAGCCATACCCCATTACTGCATCCTCACACTGGTACTGCACTCACTTGTGTGGGTCGCTCAAACTTCTGGGGCATATCCCATGTTCTTCATTTGCAATAAGCTGAGCGGCTCTATGATTCTGTCCCAACTTGTCTGTCCTTCTGGGTACACAGGGGGCATTGTGGGAAGACATTGGAGGACTCTCTGCACTCAAATGGTCACTTTGTCACTGCAAAGTGCGTCGATTACCAGCCTGAGTGAAAGTGGTACCTGAGCTCTAGCCTCTATGACCCCCAGCTGTACCAGCTACCCTGAGTTCTTAAAGCACAGCCAAACTTCGATGAGCCAGGTGTTGTGTGTGGACGGGAATGTGTACATAATCCTTCCACTTTTATGCACTATATTTACCATCTTCCACTGCACACGTCCCTCTCGATAGAATGTCTTTTATGACCAAGTGTGCTGAGAATTCATACAGTACCATTTGCCTGTCTGATCTAGTGCAGTTTACAGCTAGAGTAGCTCCTGTAGCATTGAACTGTAATAATTCTGGCAAGCCATCTCCAGATTCCTTCAATGTTCTTTGCAACAGATAAGTAAATTAGCATGTTAAAGCTCTACCTTTGTAGTGCTTGTATTTTAGATTTTAATGTACTGGTGAAATCCTACAATGTAGGACGGGGTGGCCAGCCTGAGCCTGAGAAGGAGCCGGAATTTACCAACGTACATTGCCAGAGAGCCTCCGATGAAGTGAGCTGTAGCTCACGAAAGCTCATGCTCAAATAAATTGGTTAGTCTCTAAGGTGCCACAAGTACTCCTTTTCTTTTTGCGAATACAGACTAACACGGCTGCTACTCTGAAACCAGTAATATGTCAGTAGCCCCGCTCCTAGCACCTCCCAACCATTGGCAGCCCTTCCAATCAGCGCTTCCCCGTACCTCCCGATCAGCTGTTTCGTGGCATGCAGGAGGCTCTGGGGTGGGGAAGGGGAAGGAGCGAGGGCATGTTAGCCTCAGGGGAGGGGGCAGAGCCAGGGGTTGAGCAGGGAGCACCCCCGGCACATTGGAAAGTTGGCGCCTGTAGCTCCAGCCCCGGAGTCGGTGCCTAGACAAGAAGCCGCATATTAACTTCTGAAGAGCTGCAGGTGGCTCCGGAGCCACAGGTTGGCCGCCCCTGATGTAGGATATTACCATCTGGAGCTCTCAAGTGAGCAATCCAGGATTTTATTATATAGTTGTTACACTTGAATTTCACGAATTTACACTGATTGGGAAAACTATTACCAATTTTCAGAGAAAATAAAAAGGCAAGTAAATAACAATAAAGCAAGGGTAATGTAGCATGGTTGTAGTTATTAGAGACTCCCTACTATACTAGTAATGTGCTTCAGTAAATTTTGTGAAGTAACATTTTAGGGATGTGAGACCTCACTACTGCTGTGTGAGAGGTTGCCACTTTTTTCTGCAGATTAGCAAGATTCTCTTGTATTATTCAGGGGGGCTTGAAGGGATATTAAAAGATGTAGAAAACAAACAAAAATTTGGTCTCTGCCCCCAGGAGCCTTACAGTGTCTGAGGTTGGATTTTGGAAGGGGCTGATTGCTTCCTGTGGGATGCTGAGTGCCCTCAGCTCCCGCTGGAGTAAGTAGCTGAGGAATTTGATTACCACTGCAGGACTGGGCCCTGAATTAGCAGCTTGCAGTCTGCTTTGATTCTTGCCCCTTGTTCTGTCTGGCCTGCCTGATAGCCTGAATGCAGTTCAACACAATGCTAAATTAATGCATAGTAGGAATGCTAACTTTGTCTCCCTAATCCCCAGCCCATTTTATGCTCATTAATTTCATTGGTCTAAATCCTTCTTAATAAAATTCCTGTATTCAATTAAAAGTTGGATTTGCTTTCCTCCTGATATTTTGAGTTTGGATAGCAGGGAAACACACAGCTAGTTATCGCTAACATATATCAGTAAAGCATGACTATAACATGTCAGCTATGGAGGAGTGAGTACGTCATATATTCTGGTCAGGATCTGGATTAAATGTCAAAAAAGTTTGGTTGTAGGGATTTTTTATTTAGAGACTTGCTTCCACCATTGTAATTTTACCCACCAGTCCCAGCTGCTATTCCAGTTTTAGAAATGAGTCCAAAAATGACAGAGCTGGGGATCTGTATTGGCCTAGGCAGTCAGGTACACAAATGTGAGGAGAACTCTAGCTAATCTTTATAGCCCCCAGTGCTGTAATATCTGCATGCCTTCCCCCAGGCCAGGCACTTCAGTTCAATAATCCTCTCATCCTGTTTTGAGGCATGTCAGTCTCCTTTTACTCTTCCCATTTGGGTTCTAAAGTCACTTAAAGAGCATAGCATGATTCTATTTGATTAATAAACCTTATTCCTTCTGGACTTTTTCCCTCAGGACTTCTTGACTGATCTGGTGATGTCTGAGGTAGATCGCTGTGGGGAGCATGATGTTTTGATCTTCAGGGAGAATACGCTTGCCACCAAAGCCATTGAGGAGTACCTAAAGCTGGTAGGACAGAAGTATCTTCATGATGCACTTGGTAAGAAAATACCAGTCTCTTTTCTTTTTTCCTTTCACAGAACCTAGGGACCAAATGCTGTCCGAGCAATCAGCCAAGTAACGTGGCTGTGCGTTGAGTATCCTGGTGGGAAATGCATCGACTGCTACTCCAGCTTCAACAATGGAGTTGGTTCTGTGGCTCTAGGACTCCTGTGTACTGAAATCCATGGCCCCTTGCCACATAGCACCGGATCCACTGGCCTCAGCCAGTGGACCGCTCACCTAGGGGACTTGTGGCATGTCCCTTGCATGTACTCCTGAAATGCTGCTCTCTCACCATGTGCAGTAGAACCTCACTGGTTCTGCTCCATCTGGGCCCTTCTTGTTTATGGAACGCAGAGACAAGATTTGGCTCCTAAGATTTGCAGCAGCTGAAAAAAGATCACACTCACTTCTGTGTGGATTAAGGGGTCTCCTTTAACGGTTATCTCATCCCAATGCTCTACATTTTTCTAAGTACCATCTTTTCTCTTGGTTTCCCTTATTGATTGTCATATCTCTTCATTATGATTTGTGAATCATTCGGTCTGGAGTACGTAAATAGGGATAAAGGTGATTTTGATAATGTAACAACTGGGAAAGATACTGACAACATAGATGAAGTTCAGTGCTTTTGCACTGTGTAGACTTTGCATCTGGACATTGCTGGTGAATCCAGTATAATCCCAGCTGAAAGAAGCGACATGGAAATTTCAAGAAAGGGTCAGAAGTGTTCTGCATAGGCTTGCATAGCCCCTTTGTGGGGGAAAAGGAACCGTAATGTTGAAGATGCTCTGTTCAGCAGGGCAGCCCAAAGTCCTACCTGAAAGCTGATACGCACCTAGGGGTGTGAGGCTGAGGGCAAAGCTGATCATCCACTGGATTTTATTGCTGGGGCACCTCCAACCAAGCTGTTCCTGTTCATTTGTCAAGGAAGGTACAAGTCCAAGCCGGTATTAGGGTTGGGTGCATGTATGTATTGTAATAAAGATTTGACAATTTGCATACACACAAGGTGCACCATTGAGCTACTGGCAAATTTCCAGAGTGGCCCTCTGAGTCACAAACTTTGGTCATGACCCCTGCTTTTGAGCAATTAATTCAATACCCTGATAGTCATGTTTCTCTTAATCCCACCTTAACCTTCTAATCCTTCACCAGATGCAAACAGAAATATTTAGGGTTACATGTGGCCAGCTGGAGAGAATGAGGCTGTGAGGCTAGGGAGCATCACAAACCAGGAGAACCTGCTTCAAGCTGTTCCAGTGACCCTTTGAGGATGCTTGTCCTAAGTGCTCTTTACTCAGGGAAAAGAACAGAATCAATTGTTCTCCAATTGCTCATCTCAGCCTACATGCCTAGCTCTTGCACTTGTGATGTTCCAGGTCTCGAACCCAGGCCTAAGAGTCCACAGACCGCAACTGCATCCTGTCCTCCACCCAAGGTCTGCTGAAACCTGGCGGACCAAGAAGCTAGTAGGACTATAGCCTCAGTCAAGGCACCACCCATGGGAGCCCTGATTGGAGGATTGTCCAGCTCTACCAGTTGTTCCAACCATGTTATTTAAGACAGAAGGTGGCACAGAAAGTTTGTCCAAGCAACAAGGTGATTTCTTCTTGTGGCTGCATTGGACCCTGCTTGTGCTTGCACCCAAACCCTGTTCTTGATTCCTGCTCCACTCCTGTCTCACCCATGTCTTCACTCCTGTTCCCACTGTGCTCCATCCCCATGTTTGATCCTTGCCTCTCCTCTAGTTCCTGCCCTTACACCTCACTTCCAGCCATCAGTGACCAGTCCTGGCTTCGACTCCGACTTCTGACCCTGACTCTGGCTTGACCCTTGGCTCTGACATTTGGATCAGCCTTGACCCTCAGCTTCGATTCTTGCTTCTGACTCTGGCTCGACCCCTGACTCTGGTAATTAGAAGTTGACTCAGGTGTTGACCCTTGGCACCGTTCCCCAACCTGGACACCTGCTCTGCCCACTAGACCTGACTCCTGCTCTACTAGGCCAGACCACCTGCATCCCCATAACAGCACTCACCCTAACCCCACAACTTCCTCCCTTCCTAGCCTTACCCCTCCCAGCAAGCCCAGCAGACTCATCCTGCTTGTCTACCTGTCTTACCCGCACAGAGACAGTGCTTTGCTCTTGACACGTGCCACTGCCAAACGTGTAATCCCAGCCCCACAAATGCTATCCCAACATTGGGTATGTCTACACAGCGACTAGACACCTGCAGCTGGTCCATGCCAGCCGACTCAGGCTGTGGGGCTATTTCACTGCCATGTAGATGTGTGAGGGTCCCAAACTGAGCTCCAGCCAGAGCCCAGAAATCTACACAGCAATGAAACAGTCCCTTAGCCTGAACCCTGCAAGTCCGAGTCAGCTGGCACGGGCCAGCCGCAGGTTTTTCCTCTGCTGTGTAGACGTACCCATTGCAACTCAGAGTGTGCACAGCTCCCAGTAAATGGACAGCCTCCCTACAAGGAGGCACTACCAGCTGTATGCTGATTCCTCTCCTGCCCAGGGTCCCAAGATGAGCCACCTTTCCCCTCCTGTTTCTTGGCCTAGGGGAGATTGGAAATTCATGCAGGCCAGGTAAAATCATGTCAGAACTGACTCCTTCCAAGAGACCCATCCCTCCTCCCCAGTGGCCTGGAAACTGGCCAGTCATCCAGGTGTTAAGTGGGAATCTGAGATGTGATTATGTGTATTTTGAGTGTACTGTATATATCTTTTCAAATTCTGCCAGCTTTACTCTCACTGGGTAGAACCTTAAGATACTGCTCAACACGAGTAAGGGTGGCAGAATCTAGCCCAGTATGTGGAGGCAAGCAGCAATTTACTTGATGCCTTGTCTTCCGACAGATTTAATTATCACCTTTTGGTTCAATATGTTACATTTGACTAAAAGTCCTTTAATGTGCAGTAATTACATGGATATTTTTAAATTGATGACTATTTATACATTGTTTTGGACACCAGTGCTAAGCGATAAGATTATGAATCATAGAAGTTAGAGATGGAAAAAGACCTGTTACATCATCCAGCTTGTTTCCAGTCTAGGGCAAGATGGCTCTTGAAGATATATTTATTTAGTTTCAAATGCATCACACAATACGTTCAGTTAGATTCCATATTGTGTGAAATAAATTAACCACGCTGAATTCAGTATTAAGTGTATAGTGTACCTACAAGCACATTTTAATACATAGTTAGGATCTGGCTATGGACTACTGAGAACAAGTTACAAGTGCATAAAAAATGATTCAGGAAATTATTGTTACAACCAGAGTTTGCTCACCCAGAAGTGGTGCTGAGCTCTTAGCAAATAATACTAAACTACCTTCCCTCAGCAAAATTTTTCTGTAGTGGAGCCCAGATTATCTTAAAAATAACAAATTAGTATTTTATCAAATTGTTGTTCATCGGCCAAACTTACTTGTTTTGATTATACTATAGCATTGCAGAGCTGAAGTACTAAATAATGCTCCTAACATCTTTATTCTGTGCTGTTGAAGTTGCCCTCTAATCCTTTAATTGCCACAAGGGGTTGAAATTGGGCCAAGTACACTGTGAACAGAACTCATTTCAAGAAGTTGTAGTTTCCATTCCTTCCCAGGGTTCGGGTACCAGCGAAAGTTTCTAAACTGGATTTTCCGATTAACTACGAATACTTATTCAGAATAATTACAGCATAACCAGGTGTTGTCTGTAAGATTATATATGCAAGCACATAAACAAAAATTTGTGGAGGTGAAGAGATTTGGGTAAATGTACTACCTGTCCTGCTTGCAAAGCCATTGGTGGTTTGGTTTAGGGGTGGGTTTTTGTTTGTTTGTTTCTTAAAAACATTTTTGAACAGACAGTCCTTGTGGCATAAACTCCAAAGTGGGAAAATCTTCTGAGGACATAACTCAGGAGTCACTGAAACATTAAGCAGATAAGGGAAGATAACCAGTGCAGAGTTTAAAAAGTAATGAGTATACTAGAGTCCATATGAGAGAGAGAGTAGAAAATACACTGACGTTACAGAATATCAACCAATGGAAACACCACCATGCCCAGTCTGAAGTTGTGTGTCCAATTTCAGTTGCCTCACTTTAAGAAAGAGAGGGTAGAAATTTAAAAGCTCTAGAAACAGGCAACAAAGATTTTGCAAGATGTAAGGATGACAAGAGGCTGCATAAACCAGGATTAGTTAACCTGGATTGAATTTTTCACAATGGCAAAGAACAGAGTGAAAACTGGTGAATCCTCCTTTTTACCGTGTCTCATAACACAAGAACCAGGTGACACTCAATGAAATTAAAACACAGTAAATTTAGAACTAATAAAAATAAAAAGAATTGTCAGATTCATTGCCAGAGAAGGTCACAAAGACAAATAGCCTGGCTTTGCGTTTTAAAGGAATGGATAATTTTATAATCGCTAATAACATCTGTATTCATGCAAAAAGAGGTAAGGATAATCATTCTTCAGGGTGTAAGCTGATATCTTGCAGGGGTCAAAAAGGAATTCTCCATCTCATTTCTCCCCCACCCCAATGTACAGCAGTTGCACAGCTGGCTAGATTCATTATTTTGGGAGGGGAGAGGAGTGGGATTTGCCTTCCTCTGAAGCCTCAGCTGTTGGCTAGAGCACCAATGGCCTGATCTGGTACGGAAAGTCCTGTATTTGAAAACAGTTATGAGGAGTCATGCACTCCACGCCTGGTGTCTGGAGACTACCTCACTGCAGATGCTGGGTGCAGAAAATGCAGTTGCCAAGGAGAGGCATAAACAGGCTTTAAAGATACATCAAGGAGACTTTCCTATAATTGCCACTGTTTGTAACCCTCTTCCCTTACAGGGGAATTCATCAAGGCTTTGTATGAGTCAGATGAGAACTGTGAAGTTGATCCCAGCAAATGTTCATCCAGTGAATTAACTGATCATCAGAGCAACCTGAAAATGTGTTGTGAGCTGGCCTTTTGCAAGATTATCAACTCCTATTGGTGAGCGCCTGCCTCTTGCTTATTGGCCACTTGGTTTGATGTTTGGTTAGGAAAGGCAAAAATAGTATCCCTCTCTCTCCAAAATATGGGAAAGCAGCAGTTGTTGTGAGACCGAGGACAAACGTACTTCCATATATTATAGTAGCATGGGTTCCTGTGGCTTACCGCTCTCTACACAACATTGCAGAGAGAAGTTCCGTCCAAACAAGGAGTCCTGACACCATACCCAGTCCTAAGTACTATACCATATGGGAATGTCCCCTGAAATATTTACTGTGGCAATGGAGATCTAGTGAATGATGATTGAATCAATGGGGTAACTTGAAAACTAAACTTCAGAAGTTCTATTTGAACTTTGAATAAGCAGCTAATAGCTTGGATGCTTATGTGAAATGTTTTTCAGACCTCTTAGATCTGCAAAAGTGGTCTGGAAATTGTATTGTGGGGAAAATGCTTCACAGGAGATTTCTATTAGTGTCAACTTCTGATCAAGCTGGAAATGTTGAAATATTGGCTTTTCTGCTTCAGGCCAGATCAAATGAAAAGTAATTAAAAAAAAAAAAAGTTAACTCAGCATTCAAAATCTTAAATCCAATTATAGAAATGAGCAACAGTTCAGTGTGTGTCTGAATTTTTACAAACATATTTGCCATTCACTTCAAACTAGGGATGGACATTTCTTAACCTGTAAATCAAAGTGATCAAAAAGGATTTAGTTTTATATCTTCTAGAGGAATGCTTTGAATAGTACTTAAGTGTACCAAATAAAATGGTGATCTGGGAGCTAAGACTAGAAATCTAACAACATTTGCTGGGCTGAAATAACAGAATAGCCAGCATTTCTGTTTCTCATGGTTTTGCCTTTCCTGTGACAGGCTATCAGTTCAACCTGTTACATTTTACACCCTTGTCATTTTATTGATTGATTTAATTGTTTGCAGTGTGTTTCCTCGCGAGCTGAAAGAGGTGTTTGCATCCTGGAAGCAGAAGTGCCTCAGTCGGGGCAAGCAGGACATCAGTGAACGCCTGATCAGCGCCTCACTCTTCCTCCGTTTCCTGTGTCCAGCTATCATGTCCCCTAGTCTCTTCAGTCTCATGCAGGAGTATCCTGATGACCGGACATCTCGCACTCTGACACTCATTGCTAAAGTCATTCAGAATCTCGCCAATTTTGCTAAGTAGGTGGCAGTAGCATATTGGCCCTGAAACAACAAAATGTTCAGGAGTCTTAGTCTCACGCATATTATTGAGGAAGGGAAAGGAGAGCTCTGTGCAAATACAACTCTAAAGCTAAGTCCTAGGAATACTGTGTGAAACTTTGAATGGGGAGGATGCTTTTCCGCCCACACGCTGCGTGGCTACATAAACCAAGAAGGGTTTAAGAAGACTACTGACGTGAACACTGTCAGCCTGATTCTGTTTTCAGGAGTAACTCCACTGAAGTCAGTAAAATGACACTGGTGTAAACTGTTGTAACTGAGAAGAGAATCAGGTGTTTTCTGTATAGGTACATAGACATAGGTGAGAGGTTTTTCGCAGGAGTGGGTGGGTGAGATTCTGTGGCCTGCGTTGTGCAGGAGGTCGGACTAGATGATCATAATGGTCCCTTCTGACTTTAGTATCTATGAATATATCTATGAATTTATATACACTTAGGTTTTCAGTTGGTCTCATTATTACTAAAGAATACAAGCAGAATTCAGTATAAGTTACTTGAAGGTGGTAACTCTTTTTTTATCCAAACTCCCAGCCAAAGGAATGATGCAAAGGACGTATGCTTAGAGTCTCCAAAGAGGATAGTCTATGTCGGGGGCGATGGTGGTGCCTGTCACCCAGTGGTATGAACAGTGGATTGTTAATACCCAGATGAGTCAAGCAAAGCAGTGGGGTTCTTCAATCACTTGCCCCTCCTCTCTCTTCTCCTACCCCAGGAAGAAAGATGAAGGGGAAAGCATTAGAATAATTCTCTGAACACTTATCTGTTGTATTCTGTGTGGAAGTCATTTACTCTCTCTCTCTCTAGGTTTGGTAATAAAGAGGAGTACATGGCCTTCATGAATGATTTCCTGGAACATGAATGGGGAGGAATGAAGCGCTTTCTACTGGAGATCTCTAACCCAGACACCATCTCAAACACCCCTGGGTTTGAAGGCTACATTGACCTGGGCAGGGAGCTCTCAGTTTTGCACTCCCTATTATGGGAGGTTGTGTCCCAACTTGATAAGGTAAAGTAGGCTCAAGGGCTGGGAGGGTGGATTCTGCAATAGTATCATTGAAACTGTCAACACCAGGAAATACCCAAGGAGTGGCCAAGTCCTATTTTAGGAAGAACTTTCTGAAGTTCAGTAACGCTTTAGAAAAGTATGTGATTGTGGCGTTGAATATTTATCCTTTCAATGATTCCAGATCAAGGCCTAGCTCCTGCAAGACCTGTGAGTCTTGAACAGGATGTGCAAGGTAGTTGTGCTCCAGCACAAGTGTAAATGCTTTGCAGAGGCTGGGTGTTCAGTGTTGTCCTCTGCACAGTGGTATGAAGCCTCCCTGAACACCCACTCCCTTACTCACACCTGTGCAGGGTAGAAAGGGCAGGGCATGGATGGAGAATGGGACTACCAGTGGAGACAGTGAGTTGCTTTGCTGCACGTTCCCTTCTTAGGCTTTACTCCTCCTCCCAGATTGGAGTAGTTTAACAGTAGTGTTTTCATTAACGGCCTGAGCCAAAGACTGTTGCAGTCACTGGAAATCTTCCTGCTGATTTTAATAGGCATGGGATCAGATTTAGCATAAGATCAGGTTCCCCATGTATGCCCTGTCCCATTCGTATTTTTACATGCCCCACATTGTGCATGGTGAAGCTGGTTCTCTAAGAGCCAACACTGCAAACTCCTGAGATATGAAAACCAGGCTGTGTCTGTTCTGCAACCTACATCATCACCACTAGTAATGGACATTCTGTCATCAGCCTTTAGCTGGCAAGTTGGCTGATGCATGAGACAGAACAGACTCCGGCTTGCTTTTCCCTAGCCATGTGACCTCTTCAGAGCCAATAAGATTAAAAACTGGTCAGTGTAGAGAGGACTCGGACACAAGGACCAGAGTTCTTGAATAAGATTTTGCCATTTTTGCATGTTTACAAGCGTTTGGCTATTCCCATCACACTGCAGAGTTTCAAATCCGCATTCTGTTGTCTGCAGTCCCAGATTCTACTTACACCATACCAGTTAGGTCTTTTCTTTTCAAATTGGAGATGAGGTGGTCTGCAGAGAGCTACTAATAATATTTTGTTACTAGCAAGGTTTGGAGAAATAATGATTTATTCAAAGATTTATTTCCTACTGGTACAGTATAAAATTATTTGTGTTGGTGTAGTAGAGTAAATCTAAATGCCCTTGATGCATGAAGATAAAAACATATGTTTTAGTTTGATAAGGATTTTTTGATTTGTCAGTTTACTGTCTACACTCATATATTTTTGCATTCTAAATGTCATATGCAGTAAAATTTCTCCTTCAAAGACTGCTTTCCTAAGGCCACTGGAATGACTACCTGAGCACAAATGGGCAGATCCTGAGTTCATGTACATCGGGCTATGCCAGTTTACCTCAACTGAAGATCTGGCCCAAAGACTGAAAGCTTCTGGCATTGCCAGAAGGAAAAGCAAGAGAAAAACCCACTTTAGAACAGGACTGGACTTATGAATTTGCCGGTGTCAGATCTGACCTCATAGTTACTGGGTGCTGTGGAACTGCTTTCAAAATGCAAATAAGTGGTACATGGCGGGAGAGTGGAGGCAGGAAGCAGATACAGTATTAAGCCAGAGTATACTGTGCTCTTTTCCCAGTGCAGATGTATCAGTATATCCTAACAGGTTTTGGGAAAGGGGTTTTGTTTGTGCTAAAATGGGAATTAAGAGTTAATGTTACACTACCATGTTGCTTCACTATGGGCAATGATTACAGGGACTAGGAAAGAGAATGAATGAAGTTACCAGGAAAAGCTGGAGATTTTAATGAAGAAGAAATAATTGGGAGAAACAAGCAGTTGTAAAGTAACTTTCCACTGTAGACAACTGATTTGGATGCCTGTTTCTGGGGGGTGGAACCTGTCTTTCACAGGAAGGTAGTCTTTGTAATGAGCTTTACTGTATAATAATACCTCCCTTACCCTCTACCCCCCACCCCTACCGGTGGCACTGTGTAGATGCCAAAGTCACCGTATAAACTCAGGGCAGATTTCCAGAGAAGAACAGAAAATCTGAACGGTAGCCTCCACCACAGGGATATAGTGTTGGTAGAACTCCGCTTTATAGTCAGTTGCTGTTGTGTAAGGCCTTGCCAGACTGAAGTGAATTTTTCCCCTCTATTCGACATTGGTGAGGCCTCATCTGGAGTACTGTGTCCAGTTTTGGGCCCCACACTACAAGAAGGATTTGGAAAAATTGGAGAGAGTCCAGCGAAGGGCAACAAAAATGATTAGGGGTCTAGAACTCATGACTTATGAGGAGAGGCTGAGGGAACTGGGATTGTTTAGTCTGTAGAAGAGAAGAATGAGGGGGGATTTGATAGCTGCTTTCAACTACCTGAGAGGGGGTTCCAAAGAGGATGGTTCTAGACTATTCTCAGTGGTAGAAGATGACAGGACAAGGAGTAATGTTGCAGTGGGGGAGGTTTAGGTTGGATATTAGGAAAAACTTTTTCACTAGGAGGGTGGTGAAACACTGGAATGTGTTACCTAGGGAGGTGGTAGAATCTCCTTCCTTAGAAGCTTTTAAGGTCAGGCTTGACAAAGCCCTGGCTGGGATGATTTAATTCGGGATTGGTCCTGCTTTGAGCAGGGGGTTGGACTAGATGACCTCCTGAGGTCCCTTCCAACACTGATATTCTATGATTCTATGATTCGTGTAATGATGCAAGGTAGCTAGACGCTAGTCGCTGGCTGAAATGAAAATATTGGGTTGGATGTTACTGGAGTTTTCATGCCGTTAATTTTAATTTCATTTCAAGTGGGAAAGCCACGTTAGCTCCCAGCTTTTGATAGCACCTTGGTACAAAAGATGGCATCAGTGTAGGATGCCAAAAGGAGAAGGCTGATGAAATGGAAACCTCCCTCCCCCAAACCCTTTCAATTCTCTCCTGGATCCCTTGAATGCAGCCCCCCCCCTTCTCTGTTGGCATGTATTTCTTTTACCACATGACCCCTTTTGCCTGGAAAGTTCCCTCCCATTAGCTGATTCTGTAGTCTCTGAATTCCCATTTATTAGTAGTTACTATAGTTTTTAACTTGACTCCACCCTGGATTTAGTTTGCTTTGCATGACAGTTTTGCGTTGGAATGGCAATAGTTTGGTTTTATTGAGCATGAATTTTATTTTTGGGGGTCAATCCTAATTTCTTTTCTATTTCCTTTTCTTTCCTCAATGTCTGCTGCACCCTGTTTCGTCTCCTTCATTCATCTCGTCGCCGTGGTTACACTGCTCCGTAACAATGCATTATGGTCCTGCCACACCCACACACAAACACCCACCCTCCTTCCTTCCAACCTCCACCCCTCTGCATCGTTATCAAAAAATGGCGGATGTCGCGGTGCTTATTATCCAATCAGGGTGAAAATTCCTTCCTACAGGCGACCGTGGCAAAACTTGGACCCCTCCCTCGTATTCTTGCTGATATCACCAAGTCAATGACCAATCCTACACCAATACAGCAGCAGCTGCGGCGTTTCACCGAGCACAGTTCTAGTCCAAATGTCAGTGGCAGTCTCTCCTCAGGGCTTCAGAAGATATTCGAGGACCCCACTGACGGGTATGTAACAGCCAGGGTTCAAGAGCAGATATGAAGCAGAAGGGATGTAGGATCATGCAGGTTTGTAAGATTGTGTTAAGAGAACCTCTGTCCAAGCATAGTCACCCCAAATTTATAACTAGGTACATGCTAGGACTCAGAATTGGTATCTGTAGTAAGGAGGACAGGAACCCACTGAGATATGCAAGGATTAGTGCTAAGACATGTAAGATTTGCACTTAGCCAGGACGCTGGGGTTTGCCTAAAGTCAATGACTTAGGATATTGAAAACCAAACCTTATACCACTGGCCAACCTGGGTGAAGTACAATGAGATGGAAAGATACAAACAAAAATGTGTAGCTCAATATAAATCCTGTAAAGCTGACTGAAATATCTCACTCTAGAGATCAGGATTACCTTTCCAATAGCATTGAGAAATACATGTTATAGTTATGCTGAGGGAGAATGAAAATATTAGAATAGCAAAAATAATCTGTTCTGTATTTAGTGTTACATTCTCACCTTGTAATTGTTGTTACAATTCTGGAGAGCTCCAGCAAAAAGCCTGGTGATGGCTGAAATGCATGACAACTTGCAACCTAGTTGTTTATGTGCCCATGCTTTGTGCTGCCAAGTGTAAGGCTCTGTTTTGTGTCTCAGATGTCTACTTTCTGGACCTTCAGCAACTCCTGCAATCTATTACATGTTCAGACAGATTGAACAGGGATAGCCTAAAGCTCTGGGAAGCTGAGGAAGAGTGAAATGAAATCTGGACTGGTTTGGAATCTAGCTGGAAAATAGCAATGTCCAAGGGGGAAGAAATCAGTGGGAATGGTTTGAGTTTTACCTGTGAGAAGATAGGCAGGCAGTTCTTAAGTAAGGCTTTATTCTTAAAGCTAAACTAATTGCAGATGTGTGTATTGTGACTTGAGAAAAGTAAAGAGCTTCACAAAAAGAAATACTCTAGTTCCCTGAGGCTTTTTTAGAGAGAGGGAAGGGGTTAATTGAGGAAGAAGGGCATCTCTGGGACAGATCTACTGGGATTGTGGCTGGTTAAAAATTAACCAAATGCCTATCTGCTCCACAGTGACTCGCATAAACTGAACTCTCCAACCCAGGAAAATATAGATGGATATTTTCGAGGGAAAACCTTACTGTTGGTTCAGCAGGCATCCACCCAGAGCATGACTTACTCAGACAAGGATGAGAGGGAGAGCACACTGCCCAATGGACGTAGCGTCTCCCTCATGGACTTGCAGGACCCCCACGCAACTCACAGTGATCACACATCTATCCTGCACGATGTGCCTTTGCGTCTGGCAGGCAGCCAGCTCTCTATAGCACAGGTGGCCAACATCAAACAACTGCGGGAGACTCAGAGCACACCGCAGAGCGCTCCCCAAGTAAGGAGACCGCTGCACCCATCCTTGAATCAGCAGGGCAGCCTCCAGCCCCTCTCCTTCCAAAACCCAGTTTACCAACTCAACAACCCTCCTCCACCAATGCCAAAGGCCTCTGTGGATTCCAGCTTGGAGAACTTAAGCACTGCCAGCTCCCGGAGCCAAAGTAACAGTGAAGACTTCAAACTCAGTGGACCCAGCAACAGCAGCATGGAGGACTTCGCCAAACGCAGCACACAGAGTGAGGACTTTACCAGGCGGCACACTGTGCCAGACAAGCATGTACCTATGGCTCTGCCCCGCCAGAACAGCACTGGGCAGGCACAGATCCGTAAAATGGACCAGGTTGGGTTGGGTGCCAGGGCCAAAGCACCACAGTCCCTGCCACATAGCGCTTCCTTGCGGAGCACAGGGAGCCTGTCGGCAGCTTCAGGTGCAATGGTGACAGAGCCAGTTCAGAATGGGAGCCGGTCGCGGCAGCAGTCCTCGTCCTCCAGAGAAAGCCCTGTCCCCAAAGTGAGGGCAATTCAGCGGCAGCAGACGCAGCAGGTAGGAACAAAGTCCTTCTCCCAGATTTTGTCCATTCTCTGTATTTGTAGCCCTCAAAGATAAAACTGCCCACTTCAACGTTTTCCACTTACTTTATTTAAATGTGAAACAAGAAATGTGAACTGATTCTAGTATTATGGGAGGAGAGGCTGGAATGGGAAGGAACAGCAGGCACAGGTTATGGTTTGCCTTGCTACCATTATTAGCTTGGCCAGCAACTCTCCCATGTTAAATAAAATGAGCACAAGATAATCAAATTAAGATTTTTAAAAGCTGTGTTTTCAGTTTACCTTCACAATAAGAAAAGTGACAAATTTGTTCAAAGAAACAAAAACAGAAGAATTCCAAGAAAAAAAAGCTTGGTTTCAAAAGCCAGTTAAGATGGCTGAGTTACAGTATATTTGCCTACTTAAGAGGAGGGAAATGAATTGATAAGAATAGCATAGAATCCGTATTGCCCAACTGCTAAGCAAAAACAATATTCTCATCAAGTATAAAGAAATGTATATTTTGTCACAACCCAACAACCTTAGCTCTGACTCTGTCATCAGTAATATCAGAATATGAACAAAATGGAAACACTTAATAGAAATATATATTTGCCTATGTCTAATGCCTATTGATTGGCCTCATATGCAAATCCATATACTTAATTTTACCATAAGTTAATTTTACATTATGCATATTTCATCTTACACAATTTTGGTCTTAACAAACAGCAATTATATAGTGTTGAACAAAAAAAGAGTGTGATGAATATTTTAACTGATGTGTACAATGTAATGGTATCCCATAAAATGAAATACTTAAATACTGAAATTGAGATACAGTCCATACAAATGCCCAACAGTCCATAGCACAACCATCTTCACTCTGATCTGTAAAAATGTCCTGTATTCATTTGTCTGCTCTAGGTTAGAACAGTGCATTTATGTTTATCATCTAGGCCGATTAAGGTTTATGATGTCCTTAACTGTTAATATTCTTGCTTTTTAAGTACTTGAGTTTTGTAGTTTGTGAAAGCTGAGTATATTGTTGTCATTCAGTGACCTTATCTGGCTTTGAAAAGAGGCTCTGGGATGTATTAAAACCAGCAGCTTGAATTGCATAGGGAAGCAGAAAGGAAGCCCCTGCAGTTCTGACACCAGCTTTTATGTGCTCATGCTGACACAATAAGTGGGCCAGGTGGCTGCATTCTGCACTAGCTGAATCTTCGGTGATCTTGGGTAGGTCCAAGTAAAGGGCTCTACAGTGTCCAATCCTGGGAGTCACAAAGGTGCGAGCTACAACCTCTTAGGCTTGGTTTACACTTAGAAATATTGTCAGCAGAGCTGTATTGATTCAGAGTGTGAAAAAAATTGCACCCCTAACTGACAGCTCTGGTAAACTAAGCTGGTAGTGCAGACTTTGCTTATACCAGCACAGCAAAAAAGTCCTTTTGCTGGTACAGCTGTATCTCCCCCAGGCAAAAGAGCTCATTGCTGGTATAAGCTGTATCTCCCCCAGGAGAGCCTGTTGGTATCACTCTACCAGTACGTATCTACCCCAACAAACCCTTTTAAATGTAGACGAAGCCTTTAGCAATGTAAGGGAGAAAAAGCAGGACAACCCATACCTGGTATCTGGGACCCCGAGAACAATCAGTGCTTGAAAACTACCATATGGTGTCTGGCTTTCGCTGCTGTAACTGAAATCAGAAATATTGAATCACAAAGCCAAGCTTATTAGGCAATTATATTTATATCAAAGAAATGAATCCCATAATGTTTAAAGTTTTTTATATTGTTTGTGTCCATATCCCTCATTTTGGGTGCTTGTCTTGTATGTGGGTATAGGCCGGTTGATAGATACAGTATGTTGGATGGTACCATAAATTATATGTTTAAACCACTGCTGGGATAGGGGGAATCTTCCGCCTAGTATAATAGGAGCTGTGCTTGGAAATCCACTCACTGCTCTTCTAATGCTTCAGCTGCCAGGTGAAACAGTGTGTGTTCTGCTGGTAGCTTCATTTTGTACTGCAAGTAGTGCCTTATCAGAATTCCCTCTAGAAATAGTTGGTTTCCTTAAGGTCTTTTACTGGAAATGGCTAGAAAAATAAACACAAACTTACTTGAAGGCAGTGGGGGCAAGGGAACATATAGGCTGTTTTTGAAAGCAGCCTTTAAAAAAATATTATTGACCCTTTTCTCCAGCACATACACGTGCATATGGGCATGCATGGGAAAACCTACAGCCACTGCCCTTTGCATGTTTATGAGAAATCCCCAGGTGGCTACATACAACTCCTTGGATAATCTCCTTTCGAGTCTGTTGCATCTTGAGGCTTGAGGTACTGATTGCCATATTCCTATGAAGTAAAGCATTTTCCTCCACTTACTTAGAAATGACAGTCCCAAAGTGATGTCCCAAACTTTCCTCCTCGGTCTACCATCTCCTTTTATCCTTCAGCCATGTTGCTGCCTTTAGCTATGGTCAGCTTCAACAGACTACATTTATACTGGCCCTGTAGATTATAAAAGTTGAGTTATATGTGTCTGCCCAGATTTCCACCCTTCCGTTTCTACACTGACTCTTTTCACCAGTACAGTTACATCTGATGAAGTGGGTTTTAGCCCATGAAAGCTTATGCCCAAATAAATTTGTTAGTCTCTAAGGTGCCACAAATACTCCTCGTTTTTTTTACCAGTACAGTTAGTTTCCTTGCTCCCACTTCAGTCACAGATACCAATCTGGTCTGTTGTTTGGTATCCCAGACAACTGAGAAACTTCTTGAGCTTTTCTGACTTCAGTGGTTAGCCTGTTCTTGAAGCAAATTCCACTGCATATTTTTAATTGCAAATATCACTGTGGAATTCTTTTTCTGGCTTAAAAAAAAAGTTGGGTGAATTCTCTCTGAGTGTTGCTTTGTGGGTATTTGTCATTATCAACCTCTTTCCAAGTTTCATATGTTTTTGAGCACAGAGCAGGGCTGTTTGCTTGTCTGGGAGACGTTAGCTTCTGCCTTTCATTTCCATTTAGTGAGTAGGTGGGGGATAGAATTTTCAGAGGAATTTTGGTATTGAATAAATTTCCCTCTCTGACCTCTTTTCTGCAATATTGTCACTTGGGGCTCTTGTTAGCATTTTCAAATTGCATCTTACCCTTTGCCGTCTGCTTCTTTGTTGGTGTCCTAACTGTTCATGCTTTTGAATTTGATTTCTGAAAACATTCCATTCTTCAATTTAAAGGTTAACTGAAAGGATATGCTGGTGAGCCAGAGGTCTGGAAGGAGGTCGTTAATGCAGTTTGTCCTGACCCTTGTGCTATCTTATCCCTCCAGAACCAAAATAAAAAGCAATTGTGTTTTTGTTAAGGATCAAAATCCTTCCAGCCTTCTAGCAGTTCCCAGTGGCTGCAACAGTATTTACTCCTGAGAGGTGCTGATTGGTGGCAGAGCTGCCCATGATCCATATTCTCTCCTGCTGTCTGTCTCACAGCAAATACTGCCAGGAGAAGAGTCTAACTGCAGGACCATATGTATAAAGTTGGGTCACTACTAATAGCAATATCAGTCATGCTGCCACCGAGAGGGTTATTAACCTTTCCAACGCAAATTTTTCTCTTTCCGGGCAGAGGCCTCCATCTCTGTCAAAGCCCTGAAATTCTCTCTGACCCATCTCTATGCCCATCACTGCCAAGTCTCCTTGTTGCTAGAATCAGTGTATCATCAACAGAAGATAACAGAGCCATTGTTGGTGGACCTAAGGCATCTCCTAGACCAAGAGCTGAGTCGCTGTGTGGGCAGCACGCTAAGTCCCTGAGCACGTGACTAAGGGCTAGTCTACACTGGCAACGCTAAAGCGCTGCCATAGCAGCACTGCTGCGACATGGCTTGTGTGGTCGCGGCACAGCGCTGGGAGATCTCTAAAAACCCACCTCCACGAGGGGCGCAGCTCCCAGCGCTGGCGCTTTACAGCGCTGAAACTTGCTGCACTCGGGGGTGTTTTTTCACACCCCTGAGCAAGAAGGTTGCAGCGCTGCAAATTGCCAGCGTAGACAAGCCCTGAGAGAGACTGGAACTGGAAATCCTACCTGGATGTCTGACCTGATAGGAGGCTGAACAAACTCTTATTTTAAGAGATTATAACTCCCCTATAAAACATGCTTCCCTGAAACCTAGCAAGCAAGCTCTCAGTCCAGCAGCTCACTCTGTTGTCTCAGTTAGTATTTTAAAATCTGAAATTCTACAGACCATTACTTAGTATGTGAAGCTAGTTAAGTACCTTTATGCATTTCAGAAGGAGGAGTAAAAATGAAAGGGAGGACATTGACCTGTTTGGACTCATAATTTAGCTGATTTTAAATGGCTATAATGTGTTGGGGAATGTCCCCTGCTCCTCAGATATCCATATTTTTAGTTTACCTCTACTCCACTAAGAAATTAAAACAAAAAAACCCACACTCCTCCAGCAAAGCCAGTGACCATCGCTCATACCAGACCTGGATAACTACATCACTCAGTGCTCTGTTGCCATCCAGGCAAGGTGACGAATAAACACTGTTCTCATATACCTGTGTCCATCTGTGTAGTCGGACAGCCCCTTTTTGCATTCTGGCATACAAAGCCCTCCACATAAAGGTCCCAGAGCTTCATTCTAGATCCCCGTGTTCTGCCCCTGTCGCACAGCAGCAGCTTGGTGAGTACCTTCAGCCTTTGCGAGGCATAGTCTTCTGGGGCCTCACTATATTATGCCCCTTTTTGTCTTCTCTTCCCTGTGGCAGACTTGTGGACTTTGCCTGGGAACCTGGATAGAGACTGGTAAGAGCAGCTAGGCCCTAACAATAGCTCACTCTGCCTCAGTAGCAGCACCACCTCTCAGTGGATAGTTGGCCCCAGCGGGGAAATATGCTCAGACGCTCAAAAGGGCTCACATGGAGCTGCTAATCTGGAGAGTGGAGAAAGTGGTTTCCAGTGGTTCTGCTGTATCAGCAATGTCTCCAGTGGGGAAGAGACTACAGTAGCTTCCACCCCCCACACCTCAAAGTGCCCAGTCCACAATGGTCCTCTTTTCTTGTCTGTCTGAAGCAGTAACATAGGAGATGTAGGTCATGTGGTTGCTCAGACTTTGACTCAAGACTGCCTCCTTCCACATTAACAATGAGCCACTTCACCATACAGTATGATCCCCCACCCTCAGCTCTCCATCGGCTCTGGCTGAGTATGCCCGCTCTGTGGTGTAACTCTAGGCCCTTTTTATAGAGAAGAGTTTGAGTGCCAAAATTTCAGCAGAGCTGCCATAGTTACCCATAGTCTCTCTGCTCAGGACCATGACCCTTGGTAATAGGAAGGTATATTTATAGAGAAAAGCAAAATTGTCTTATCCCCACCAATGTGCTGATATTGTACTTAATGCTGCTGCCGAAACAAGGTATCAAATTGCCATGTTAACAGAAAAAGGAAAGCAGGCTGGGAAAAACTTTATTTTCAAGTTCCTCAGAGTGGGAGCTGGGGAAATAAAGCAATGTTGTTCTCCCAACAGCAGTATTTCCCAGAGTTTAGAAATTCTGGTGTCACGCTTCAGGGCATCCGTGCCCGTATTTTTTTTTCTATGGTCCAACAAGGGGACCCATCTTTCCCTTCTGACTGGGGTATCTCCAGGCTGAACAGTTCCTTGCCTTCACCGTTTTGTTCCTAGCAAAGGCAAGCTAACCTGCTTACCTTCACTTCATAACAGGTTAACCGTGTGCCTGCCCCCATGTTTAGGTACTGCACAGCTCTTTTGGTGCATGCCTATTTTATTCTTAAGATAAAAGCACCACAGGGAAAACATATTAAAGACCATACAAGAACCTACATGCTTATTAATAAGCTTACCTGAAATCACCCCAACCCTACCACGGGCTCTGGCAGGAGCAGGCCTTAACACTTCACCTAAGGGGTTTTCTTGGGGTTTCAAGGGCTGATCACCATAGGAATTACATTAGCATCTCCCTAGAGGAGTCACATACAGTTCCACAGTACAATACACACAATTGCATTTTTAATACAATGAACCACAAAGGTATTAAAAAAAAAATTGCATCTCAAGTTAAGCACCTCACTTCTTCAAAGTAACAAACCTACCATTCACAAGCAAGCTATGAATAAAAACTTCCTTGTCTTTAGTGCTGTGTGAGGGGGACTGAGACAGCTCTACCAGGAAGCTAGCTAGCAGAAGGTGAACATGGCCAGGACCCAGTCAGTAACAAGATTTTTTTTCCATAAAAAGGAAAGTGCATCTGCGACCAGATAGCATATCAGCAAGCACCAAACGGTCATCTCGTCAAATACAAGCCCATCTCCTTTCTGAAGTGTCTTGTACTGTCTTTAATCTTCCTTATAAGAGACTGAAACCACAGTATTTCTGGACTCTGGTGTGCGTTGTCTGATTCTGTTGTGTGCGTGTCTTCACTCCCCTTTCTTGTCCTTAAGGACGATGGAATTGTTTTAGGAAGGTGACTCTGATTGAGGTGAAAGGGAAGCTGTGTGCATGGGTTTAATGCAGAGAGGGGTCTTTCCGCATTAAACTTTTCCTGGATGCAGTGATGTTAGAGGGGTTGAAGTATAGTATGTGTCTGGAGTATCTCTAGAAGAAAGTAGCTGTGGGGAGCCTTTGATACTGCTGGACTCACGATGGCCTTCTTCCCCCATTTTTCTCCTCTGAGTAAGTTTGACTGTAGAGCCAGGCAGTATGTGATTTCTTTGACAAATGCTTACAGCCCTCTCTGCTCCAGGTCCAGTCACCTGTGGACTCAGCCACAATGTCACCAGTGGAAAGGACAGCTGCGTGGGTTCTGAATAATGGGCAGTATGAAGAGGAAGAGGTGGATACAGAGCAGCATCAAGATGAAGTAAAGCATGCTGAGAAGGTAATTGCAGTGTGCATTCACCAGTCTGAGCTCTTAGACCTGAGGCTTCCACTGAGCTCCTATCCACAGCAGCAGGCTGAACTGTTCAGAATGGTGGCATACCCTGTTGTGCCAGAATCATGCTTTCAAATGCAGCTGTTACTAGCACAGTTTTCCCTTCCAGCGTGAAAAGGAATTTTTTGTATCCACATCCTGTGTAAGCTACCCCACAGCTAGTGCATTGCATGGTTTCTGACCACAGATCTAATACGGTTCATAAGCATGTTGGGATGGTTGCAAGCTTTGTTTGAAACCATTGTCAAACACATCTACAGACTAAAACAGCATAGGCATGGCCAGAGCCTTGTAAATTCACCTGTAGCTGATGCTTGCTGTTTACCTCCATCATATTTTAAGACTGAAAATATCATATTGCCTCTATATAAATCCATGGTACGCCCATATCTTGAATACTGTGTGCAGATGTGGTCACCCCATCTCAAAAAAGATATATTGGAATTGAAAAAAGGTTCAGAAAAGGGCAACAAAAATTATTAGGGGTATGGAACGGCTTCCATATGAGGAGCGATTAATAAGACTGGGACTTTTCAGCTTGGAAAAGAGACAACTAAGGGGGGGGGGGATATGATTGAGGTCTATAAAATTATGACTGGTATGAAAAAAGTAAATAAGGAAGTGTTATTTACTCCTCATAACACAAGAACTAGGGGTCACCAAATGAAATTAATAGGCAGCAGGTTTAAAACAAACAAAAGGAAGTACTTTTTTCACACAACACACAGACAACCTGTGGAACTCTTTGCCAGAGGCTTTTATTAAGGCCAAGACTATAACAAGGTTCAAAAAAGAACTAGGTAAGTTCATGGAGGATAGGTCCATCAATGGCTATTAGGCAGGAATGGCATCCCTAGCCTCTGTTTGCCAGAAGCTGGGAATGGGCGACAGGGAATGGATCACTTGATGATTACCTGTTCTGTTCTGCCCCTCTGGGGCACCTGGCATTGGCCACTGTCGGAAGACAAGATACTGGGCTAGATGGATCTTTGGTCTGACCCAGTATGGCTGTTCTTATGTTCTTATATAAATCATGTCATTTAAATATATTAGATGCTGTTAGTCTCATTTTCTGTTATTTAAAGTAACACTGGTACTAGGATATTCCTCCAGCTCTGTGTTCTAATGTTTATGTGAATTTTAGGGGTCACGAAAATGAGTCTGGTTATTAGCCAGAGCATGGGTTAATGTGGGCACATATTATGCAACCTAGACCAACAATAGCCTTCATGTTCTTCCTGTCTTGGGCTTCACCTGATCAGAATACCAGTTGTTCAGATTGTGTAAGAGTTTGGTGTTGTGCACAAGTGTCCACCCTTTTTTCACATCTGTAATTTTCAAATATGATTTGAAGAAATGTGGGTCTCCTGACATCTGTCAGTAGTGTAGTGTGTTCCCGGGCATTTAATTGTCATGTCTATTTATAGCAACAATATACATTATTTTCCAAATAGGTATGCAGGCATACAGGTGCCACAGTCATGGCCATATAAGTCCCTAGATAAATGTCTTGGGTTTGGGGCAAAAATAAAAAATAAAGTAGAGTTTTAGGAATAATGAAGGACCTATAAAGGGAGAGTGAAATGTATGGAGGAGGCGGAATTACTGGAGGGAGCAGTCAGGAGAGAGAATGGAACTTCAGCAAAGTAAACGCCACAAAGGCTGTGTCATATAGTGTGTTAATGTGCTAGGCATCTGGACATCCGACTTCAAAGCTTGATTAGGTCTTAACGGAAAATGAGTTGTTTGGATCCCAGCCTAATCCATAGTGGATGTTTGTTCACTTCAGAAAACCACCATACACATAGGCACAATTAGCACCTGTCAGAGAGCCTATTCGGAGGAGCTAGGGGTTGTTCAGTCAGGACTGAGGCACAGTGGCAGGTTGTGTGGATGCCCAACAGTGGCATAGCAGGGGTGATGTAGGGCAATATTAGAAAATGTTAAAGTTGTATGGATAGGATCTTACGTTATGCTAGTCCATAGTTGGCCATAGTGACTGGTTCTAGCCCTTCCGGTCATTTCTCTCATTTTCTGTGTTATTAAAGAGGACAATGCACACCTCACAAAAATATCTGAACTCCTCTATCTGGCTAGCCCCTTTGCTTCTGATTCTGTCCCTTCCACTCCTGCCTACAGTACGAGCAAGAGATAGCAAAGCTGAAGGACCGTCTGAAAGTGTCAAGCCGCCGATTGGAGGAGTATGAGCGGCGTCTTCTGGTGCAGGAACAGCAAATGCAGAAGCTGCTGATGGAATACAAGATGAGGCTGGAAGACAGTGAGGAACAACTACGCAGGCAGCAGGAGGAGAAGGACAGTCAGATGAAAAGCATCATTAGCAGGTGAGAGGAGAGTGCCCTTTTTGAAAGCTTTGGTGGAAAGCATGGAAACTCTGTAGAGACTGAAGAAACCCAGTAGATTAACTTATTCCTTTGTGACAAGAAGAACATGATATTTTGCAGGCAGGCAGCTCTTGTCCTCAGTTAAACCCCCCAACACTTTGGAAGTGGTCTCATCCCCATTTTACAGATGGAAAAACTGAGACACAGAAGTTAAGTGACTTGCATGCAGAGCTGAGGAAAGGATCCAAGACCTTAACCCTCAAGTCTCTGCTCTACTCATTAGGTAGACCACACTGCTTTGAAAGAGGGAAGGAGCTCCTCTTGAAGTGTGGGCTACAAACTCTGGAATCAGTGGTCCTGTCACTGTTCAGAGCTGTTTAATTTTGGCATTGGTCTCCGTGTAAGGATTGAGTTTAGCCAATTGAAGTTGACAGAGGGGCAAATCGACTGCAGAATATTCCTCTTAAAAGGGAGAGCGCCAGTTGTTGGGCTGACTTGTTTGAGCTACAACTGCATTGTCTGAAACACTCTAGAATTGTATTAAGATTTCCTGATCCCTGTCAATGTCCCAGGCTAATGGCGGTCGAAGAGGAGCTGAAGAAGGATCATGCTGAGATGCAAGCAGTCATTGATGCAAAGCAGAAAATTATTGATGCACAGGTAAGGAGTTTTGGATCTCCAAGAACGAAGCATTTCTTGAACAGAAACCATTAGGCCCCATCCTTGTGTCCCATGCAGCCACCATGTCAAAATCTATTAGATAGCTCTCAGCATTATTGTCTCATTCCCAAACCAGCATCACCCCATGGCATTGCACATACTACGTGCCTCCTTCATGGAGAGAATTCTGTTTTCACTCAACAAAGACTACAGCGTTTAGCACCCGTGTGATGCAGTACTTTATGGGGTTAACTGAAGCCTCTAAGAAAGAAGTGAGCTCTTGCTGTGTAGCATTGCACAATATACTGCTAAAGCGTTGTGTTTGACTTCAGCTGACTGTGTCTATAGTCAGTCTTGGAATAATGCCTACGGTGGCATGAATTTCCAGTGCTTGCCTTGGCTGATACAGCTTAGCTGTGGGAAAGGGAACTAGTAGATGCGGCACATAGGTGTAAATAATGCAGTTCTGCTCTTCCAGTGTTTGGAAGTATTGCTTCAAATCTGTTTTGCTTCCTTTCTGCATCAATGCTCACCCCGATAGAAACGAAGCTGATAAACAAAATATACAACCAGTTTGATCTCTGCCCGCTGCATTACGCTTGTGAGAGACTGTTTGTCAGTGCCCCTCGTGCTCAAGAGTGTAGAAATCTCTCCTGCTTTTGTGCTTTTTAATGATTAGTGTCACTTCCTAGTTACAATTTTAAAATATTTAACTTTTCCAAAGATACATGTAACAACAACAGCATCCCAGGTGGTTTCAGAAAGTCACCTCACCATGCAGGCGGGAAGTGCCAGAACCGCTGAGCTGTGGTTGGAATTTCCCTCCCTCGACATACGTGAGGTTATATATTAATCTAGCCAAAGATGCTATTGGCATATTAGAGCAGAAGTGTGAGCAGGCATTTGTTCCATGCATCCGATGAAGTGAGCTGTAGCTCACGAAAGCTCATGCTCAAATAAATTGGTTAGTCTCTAAGGTGCCACAAGTACTCCTTTTCTTTTTGTTCCATTATGGATAGCCAACAGTAATGAGACCTGTGAAACGTATGAGCTCTGTATGTGTCACTAGGGAACATACACAAAGAAAAGAGATCTCAAAGACTTTGTGGTAGCAGAAACGTATTCTTCAGGAGGTTCTATTTTGGAATCTAGAAAAGTTTTAGCCTCTGAGGAGGAACACTTGTGTGTGCTGTCTCCCAGCACATTTTCCTGTAGCTACTCCTTCAGTGATGCTAAACTTGAAAACTAGAGGATTTGGACCTATGCCGTCTAATATGAACAAATCACTTGAGTACGGTATCTCTTGGTCCTTGCATTATGTTCAGCTCAAAAATATTTAGACTTCTAGGATGAGAAGATAATCCTGCTGGAATTGCACAATACCTGCTCCCCATACACCCTGCAGGATGTTCTAACTGAGGATGCCAGAATAGAAGTCATCCTCTTGTGATATAACTTAAGTGAACAGGAGAGTGAAACAGTGTGTGTGTTCACTGACTCTCAAAACCTAGGGCAAAAGAGGAGAATACAGGGGGCTTATATTTAATATTTGACTCCTGCGAATAAAGCGGAATAGCAGACCCTTTCTTCATGCAGATGGACTTTTGAGCTGAGCTGATGGTGGGGGTGGGGACATGAATGAAACAAGCCAATTTTCATACTTAGTTACGGTCTCAGGGTCTCATTGTCCCAAACTGATGTAGCTCAGGCATGTCCAAAAAGCAACAACCTATTAGACTTTGGGAAGGAATGTGGATACCTTTTCTCTGACCATCCCCACACCAACTGTCTGAAAGAGGGGCCTGGGCATCCTCCTCTGAGTGGGCCATTCATCTGCTGTCTCCAACCTGAAGTAGAAAGATGTAATCAGTGGCATACAGAGCAGCGTAAAAGGCTTTTATAGATAGCCCTTGAAGATGATGGTTGTGACGGGTTCAATCACAGAAACCCCCTTGGGACTATCACCTGATGTGCTGAGACTACCTCTGAGCCCATTTTCTCTGCCAGTTTGGGCCTCCAGAACCCTGCCTTGTTGAGCCAGACACGCCAGTCTGCTCCAACACAGACTCAGGGTCTGACCCACACCCCCAAAGCTGCAGACTTAACTGAAAACGGCTTAGCAAGTGCTCCTGTCTCCAGCACTAGACAGCCAGCTCCCAATGGGATCCAAACCCCAAATAAATCCGTTTTACTCTGTATAAAGCTTATACAGGGTAAACTCATAACTTGTCCTCCCTCTATAACGCTGATAGAGAGATATGCACAGCTGTTTGCTCCCTCAGGTACTAATTACTCACTCTGGGTTCAATAATAAACAAAAGTGATTTTATTAAGTATAAAAAGTAGGATGTAAGTGGTTCCAAGTACTAGCAGACAGAACAAAGTAAGTTACCAAGCAAAATAAAACAAAACACACAAGTCTAAGCCTAATACATTAAGAAACTGATTACAGATGAAATCTCACCCCCAGAGAAGTTCCAATAAGCTTCTTTCACAAACTGGACTCCTTCCTACTCTGGGTCCAGCAATCACTCACACCCCTGTAGTTACTGTCCTTTGTTTCAGTTTCTTTCAGGCATCTCTTGGGGGTGGAGAGGCCATCTCTTGAGCCAGCTGAAGACAAAATGGAGGGGTTTCCAGGGCCTTTATATTCTTTCTCTTGTAGGTGGAAACCCCTTTGTTCTCCTGTGCAAAGTCACAGCAACAAGATGGAGTTTGTAGCCACCTGGGCAAGTCACATATCCATGAATGATTCAGCTTTTTGCAGGCTGATGCCATTGTTTACATGTCAGTTTGAACGTTCCCAGGAAAGCTCAGATGTGGACTGGCATCTCCCAAAGTCCATTGTTAGTTAAATGTGTCTTGATTGGGCACTTACTGAGAATAGTCCTTTCTCAAGAAGCTGACCAAATGCTTCACTGAGGGCTACTTAGAATCAAACACATTGAGATACAAGTACATAGCCAGTATTCATAACTTCAAATACAAAAATGATACACACATACAAACATCATAATCATAACCAGCAAACTATAACCTTTTCATAGACACCCCACTTGACCTCCTCTGTACAAGACCTGGTGCAACCATAGGACCCTCGTTGCAACAATGATCTATACAGTCACAGTTCATGTCAATAACATCACAATGGTGAATCCCATCTGGACTGTGAACTTGCTTTCAGGGCTTGGCCAGCTGCAGTGAGGGCGTATCTGTGCTGAGATGGGGGGGGTGGAGGAGCACTGTAATAGATACAGAGAAATTGATGGGCGGGGGTCATGTAGCCAATAATCGGCCTAGAATGATCATGTCTGAGCAGAGAGGAACTTCCCCTCCCCTCTCTTTACCAGTCTATGCCAATAGCCTCTCATCCTCTGTGCGATACTGTGCCTGTTCCAGGAGCAACACGATGGGGATGTTGCATGCCAGAGAAGTCTGGTCCCTCAGTGTCAGCCTGCAGAAGGGAGGATTGTTGGTATGATCACCAGCAGTGCAAATTGCTTGAAGGGATCAGCCATGTGAGACAGAGTTCTGTACACATCCCATACAGTAACTCTGGTGTTTCAATGGCTAGGAAATGTAACCTTTTTAAAATGGAGAGAGAAGTTTTCCCTTTTAATCAAATTTCTTTCTCCCAGCCCAGTTCCCTAACCCCCTCCATATGGGAAACTTGGGGTTGATTTCTGGACCTCGTCTCTCACTCACCAAACCAACAAGAGCTGTGGGGGAGTGCCCAGGAAAAAGCCCAAATCAGGTTTAGAAGGGCGAGCGCATCAGTGAACCCATAGAAACACAATACCAGTAGTCCAGTCCTGTCATTTGATAGAGTTTCGTGGCCACAATGCAAGGCCTTTTGTGGGTCCTCGAGCAGAAAAGGGATGTTGGCAGGGTACTCAACACCTGGTTGCAGAGGACACAACTGTCTGAGGAACCAGATTTCTTTTACTGTTAATTAATCTGCTTCAAATTACACTTAGAAGGAAGATTGTTTTCAGACCATGATTCGTTGGCCAGTGGGGTTTAATGCACCAGGATAGAGATGGGAGGTCATTCTCTTTAGAGATACTTGGAACAGAACTGGATCCTGGTTTCTCATTTTCAAGATGAAAATGAATGCTAGGACATAGCAGTGAAGGACATTGGATTCTTGTCTCTTTCTTCACCAAAGAATGCTTTGCAGGAATTGCTGTCTGTGTTCAGGGTGTGGCATCCTTTATTAAGCTATGCACAACAGTCTTCTTGTTAAACTGACTATGTACATTACTCACAACTTTACCGCACAACGTTTGTAAATGTTGTGAATCCAGAGGCTCTTTCTGTGCTTCCCAGATTGAAAAGAGAGAGGTCTGGGTGATGGTAACCTCCCCAGAGAATAGCAGAGCTGCAAAGTGACACAACAAATCCTGCATCTTGGCAGGGGTTAGACTAGATGACCCTTGTGGTCCCTTCTAATCCTTTGATTCTATGATTCTATGAAATAGGCCAATTGCTATTGCAAGTGACATCTCCACTGTGTTAAATTACAGGTCATAAATGGGGATGAGATAATTCAAACAGGCAAGTAAACCCAATCAGTTCTCTAGCTGAGCAGTACCCAGCCCTGGCCTGGTGCACTGACCTCCTACACATTCCAGCTCCTACCACTCCCTGCACCTAATTCATGTGCATTAGGAACGTGTTTGGTTAGATTGCATTTTCCTTTGAGTGAGGAGGTATCAGCAGGGTGCATCTCCTTTTGTTCACCAAGCTCATGCCTTCAAGATTGACATTTTGGTTAAAGCTTTTCAGTTGTTCTGTCCATGTTTGATCTGAGTTTGCAATTACCTCATGTACTGAGCATGCTCAATCAGTGCCAGAAAACACCCCAGCCTTCCATTTTTAACTCTCTGTAAGGCCAAATTTTTTTAATAGAAACTTTTCTTTTGAAAATGAATGGGGAGATTGAGTTAGGGAAGGGAGGGACTTCCTGAGGAAACAGATCTCTGCTAAGTCAGGTATTTTTCTTTCTTCCTTTAAACCTATCTCCTCACTTTGGTGGGAGGGAAGGCTGATGCTTTACCTCTCAGATCTTGCCCCTTCTTTTTTCCCCTTTCTGGACTAGGAGCAGTGCAATGATAGGACAATGAGTGGTCATGGCCTGATCTTGCTATTGATCTCTGCTGACCCTGTTTCCTACGTCAGCTCTGTTATACAAGCAGCACCTAAACTCTGTTTTGTTTTGAGTCCCCCACCTTTATTCACTTGGGGAAACCCTTTGGGAAGAACAGACATTCTCCCTGATTGCACATGTCCCATTCAGCTGACATGCTGGGATGTGAACCTCATGGGGCTGCTGTAAAACTTATGTCTCCTGAGCAACATGTCTGAATTATCCCCTAATGTTTGTGCCTTCCGTACGTCATTTTTCCTTCCCTTTGTTTCTCAATGGGCTGGGGCTGCACTGGGCAGAGATTGCATGCAGCTTTTTTTAAAAATAAGAATATAAAATAAGTCAATCGGCTGGTAGCACGGAGAGCATGTTTACCTGCTGCAGTGTCCATTGCTGCTTTGTGTGGTTGCATTTTTTTAAAGGCAAGACAAATATTGAAAGCTGACTTGTACCATCAGTCTCCTTGGTTTGAATCCCCTTTCTCAGTGTCCCACCTCAGATAGCACAGCTGATTTATTTTTTTATGTATTTAGTGCATTCAGCTACCCTTTAGCTTCTAAATACTTCATTGCTTGAAGTGGAAGCTAGCACTTTCTGTGCCAGAAGAATTAAAACCAGAACGAGAGAACCTTTGATTTTGTAAGTCCTGGAGCAACTCCGAGCTGGAATGGGTCTAGGAACAGTGTGGTTTGTTTGTTTGTTTTTTGTGTTCTGTTGATGCCATCTTCCCCCCCGCCCCCCACACTTCCCTCTTACCCCTCCCTGCCCCCACCAAATAACCACTTAGTTTTAGCTTTTGGCTGCTTTTCTCCTGTGTTGCTCTTGTACCCTCACCACTGCTGGTGACTGCAGGCTGCCATTATTTGCTGTTTTAATTTCAAACATACGGTGGGTTTATACTGAGCATCTCCATGCAGTCTTTAGAGACAATGATCCTTACATACCACCTGCACTTTTCTTTGCAAAATGAAACCTGCCACCCCTTATTTTACTGCTGCCTGTTTCTGTTTTCCAAATTTTCCAATAAGGGAAAAAATTCTAAATCCAGGAAGGCTTTTGCGCCTTCGTCTGCCTTGTGAAAGGGCTGTAGAGTGAAAACCCTGAAATACATAACCCCCAAGGCTGGATTAGTTAACTAAGTATAACAATGACTTATTGGCAGCTTCCGTCATGTAAAGAAACCGGGGAGACCAAACTGGGGTGTGCAGAGCCTATGGCAAACTGGAGCCGTAGTACCTCCAAAAAACAGAAAGAGGCAGAGACATCCCCATTCCACAGGAAACGCTGGTAAGGATGTATCTGTCTAGAAAGCATCTGAAGACTTGATCACAGCGCAGGCAATGGAAGTTCCTGGCAAAGAAAGGGTTCAGGGAAGTGCTGTACTGGGTGGAATGGCTTTGATTTATTGTGTGTGTGTGTGTGTGTGTTTCAGGAGAAGCGGATCGTGTCTCTGGACTCAGCCAACACGCGGCTGATGAGTGCCCTGACGCAGGTGAAGGAGCGCTACAGCATGCAGGTCCGCAATGGCATCTCCCCCACCAACCCCACCAAGCTTTCCATCACGGAGAATGGTGAATTCAAAAACAGCAGCTGCTAACAGGTTAAATGCTGCTGGCCATCTGCCCTGGGGCAGGGCAGAAGGAAGCAGACTCAAGAAAGCCAAACACAGACTCCTTACAGGTTTACAGAATGCTGCTAAAAGAAAAACTCTGGATGGGGAAATATAGCCCACCGTTTAGACCAGGATAGTAAGGGCAAGGGCCCTCCATATCGCTGTGTATATACATAGGGAGCCTGTTGTGGGCCGTGTACAGAAAATGCCACTGTAATATACCAAAAGGAAGTCAACCATGTAGATTTTTTTTTAATTATTGCTATTTTTATTATTATTTTTTCCTCTTGTTCAAAGCACTGCAGTCCTTGGGGAGGAAGAAGAGGAAGAGAGAGGAATGTGTGTGCGCATGTCCGGTGTGGGTGAAGGCGTGAGCGAGCAAGAGAGACAGAAGCAGTTGGTTACTTAGAAGCTGTACATATTAGGGTGATTGATACAAGTACATGGAGTGAAGTGAAATATTAGTTAAATGAATTATAAAAGAGACTCATCTGCCGATTTTAACCTTCTCTTCCCCAGTTCTTTAACTGAATACAACTCCACACCCAACCTTCACGCAGGAACACTGGATCCTGTTGGCTTCTGTATCTGCTATTGCTAGGATACAGGCAAAAGGCTATTCCAGTCTCTCTGAGCATACTGAGTAGGAACTCTTTAGAGCAGTAAGCCCATCTCCTTGTGGTCTGCCCAAAGCCAGGCTTTCCACCTAATAGACAAAGGGAATTTGCAGTTTTAAAGGTGGGATATTTTTACCCCAGTTATAGTAAGGTTTGATTTTTCCTTTTTAGAGTTTACAGAACTGTAAATACCTGTGTTTTTTGAACTTCAGTCCAATTCCCAGTGTGCATACAGTCCATGGTCTCAATGCAGTAACTATACAAATCTGTTCTCCACTCTCCATTGGAAATAATCAGGTTAGTATTCTAAGGAAAGGGCTAACCAAAGGGCACCCAGGCCCTGTGCAATAGATCAGTGAACGTAAAATAAAACTTTCCTAGTTTGTTTATTTTTAACTTTGTCTTGTTCAGTTTCACTTTCACCGTTTCACCCACTGGGTTATCAGGTATCACAACATCAGAGATGCTTTCTCCAGACTATGCATGATTTTTTAACATCTCCACCCCATCCAAATTAAATTTGCCTTTCTATTAATGTTTTTTGAGTTCTGTACGTATCCAGTTTTTTGCCTAAGTGAGTTTACAGCTGAACCTCAATGTCCCCCATAATGTTGCACCTGCTTCCCACAGGAGCAAACTTTTGCAGGATGTAAATGAACGCTCATCCTGAAATTATAAAGTGACCTTGTGGGAAGGAAGATTTTGTAATATTACATGCCATACAAGATTAACAGGAATTACACAGTATTGCCAACTCTCATGGTTTTATCAGAGGTCTCGGAATACTTAGTGTGGGTTTTTTAAAGCCCCAGCTTCTGGAGTCAAATGATTGTGAGAATCTTCACTTTCAGTTTGTAAACAAGTACATTTTAGCTCTTGTTATTGCAGAGAAAAACAAGAACCTGTGAATCTTAAAGGCTCAACACAAAGCAAGTAAAAACTAGACCAATTCAAATTAGAAATTAGGTACAGATTTCCAGCAGTGAGGGTGATGAATCATTGGAACAAGCTACCAAGGGAAGTGGTGGATTGTCCATCTCTTCATGTCTTTAAATCAAGATTGGATACCGCGTTGGAAGATGCGCGTTAGTCAGACACCAGTTATTGGACTCAATCCAGGAGTAACTGGGTGAAATTTGAGGGCCTGTGTTATGCAGGAGGTCTGACTAAGTTATCTGATGGTCCATTCTGGCCTTAAGCACTATGATTCTGTGAAAACTTTACTATTTTAAAAATCTTGGGATTTCTAAGCCAATCTCTTGACTTTTGGGGGCCTGATTTGAATTCTCTGACCACTCGGGTTTGGCAATATTGACAATGACCTTAATTCAGAATCATTTGTCCAAGTTTGTTTGCTGTTTAGAAATGAATTAGCCTAACTCTTTAGGCCGAATCTATTTCTTTGTTGTAAAGCGCAATATGTTAACTGTGCGAGTTAAAAGTTACTTCCATTAAACATACATGCACACACATATATGTACATATATAACTATGCACAAAAACAGAGAGACCATATCTCCTGTACTGTAGGACATATAAAGTAAAAGTGTATGAATCTGTTTTAGTAAGACCTTGGTAGAACACTTACCTGAAGTGAGTAAGAATTTATTTTTAATGTTCTCTCAGCTCAAAGCTGCTTCCTCTGCCTAGTTCTCAAACATGATAGGTACTAAAGAGCAAGGAGAGGTCCTGCTTAATGTTCTTAAAGCAGCACAGACAAGTTTATGGAGGCTTCTGTGCTAATGGGGCCATGTAGTGGATCTGCACAGTAGTGATTTTTTTTTTTAAACTTTCCAAACAATGTTTTCCAACTCTGGGTCATTGTGACTCCTGCTATTTTCTCCCTTGGAAGCTGTGCCTTTCACCCTCTCCTCCTAACCACATACCAAGGCTGCAGTCATAGTAACAGCTATGGATCCATTTGTCTATTGTGAGTAGCTCTCATGTTTTTGCGAGAAGCTCTTGTCCAATGAAACCCCCTTTAGCTCAGCGTTTTTGTGTGGCTTGGAGGCAGCGACTGCACGCCTCCCCCTGTGTTATATAACTGCACACAAATTAAGTGAAGTTCACTATAATTACCCTAGATTATATTCACCCAGCGGTGCTATGCAAAATCTTTTTCCCAAAAGCAGCCCTGTAAATGGGTGTGTACTTTAATCATATAGTATATACAGCATGTGGTGTGGGTGGGTTTTTTCTCTGAAGTTCAAGATTAAGGAGCAACTGAATTCTTCGTCTATGCATTATTTTGTGGGGGCTAGAAGAAGGTTTACATGGAGATACAGACTCCAGTCGAAATGGCATTCTAGTGGTGCTAGGCTAACGCTACTGAGGGAGATGAGCTGACCAGAGCCTTATGGTAATCCATGAACAATCACTGCTTTGATGTGTGATTAGATGGTGAAGGCTCTTGGGAATGTATTGTGCACTTGCCTTTGTGTAAGGTTCACACAGGCTTCTGCCGAGAAATTCAGTAGGGACAGCATCTTTCCATGCATATCATATCAAATCATAATCAAGTACATGTAGCCTACTGGGGACCGTTGCACCACCAGAGTTGATGGCATCGTACCTGGCATCATAGAGTGAAGTTCCCTATGCATAGGATAGAGTGCTTTTAAATACAACTGCTCCTGGTTTTCAGAGGGGATTCCCTAGCTGCTGAAAGGTTATATAATGGGATTGGCGATATCTTGAGTAATGTATACATATGTGCACATCCTCCTGTGCTTTTCTTCAGTGTCACCCTGGAAAAGGCCACTGTTCTAGGGCTCAGTCATTACAGCTTGTTGCTGTGATGATGTTTCTGTTGGTTTATAATTTCCTGCTCAGGTAAAGGTGGCAGCTGCACAATATTGTTAAGTGAAAGCGGATCAAATATGGAGCAGAACATTACACTTCTGTGTTCTGCTCCCCCTTTGTTTTAGAGCTGCTTTCTAGGGAGAGTTTCATTTGTTAAGAGACTAGAGTATGTGACATTGCCGGCTTCTCTTCTGTCCAGTCTAATCAAATTCAAGTGGCATTAAAACACACAGTAACAAGAAAAGAGCCTCATGGTCCATTTTAATATGAATGGGACAATAAACGTTTTCAGATGAGCAGTCTATACATTTCTACAGGAATGAGAGGAAAAATAAATAGAACAAAATCTGATGATGAACTTTATAGCTTTTTAGGGTTTTGGCTAGTATATTGACAAATCACCTAAACGTAGTAGGCCATGTGTAATGCTATTGTGGGAGACTGGCCACCTTCACTTGAGGACAGCAGAGGTAATGTAGGAAGGCTTCTAGAAGTCTCTAGAACCCCTATCTGTTTGTTCCCAACTTTGGGGTGCCTCCATGAGTGCATCTCTGTTGGGGAGGCATTGGGACAGGGCTGCTAAGGGAAAAGGAAGGCGAGGATTCCTTATCCCAAGCTCTCTAGTGCCATCAGTTTCTATTAAGCATCACAGTTTGTGGTTAAACATTATTTTGACTTTAAGGAATGGCTCTTGCCATCTGATTCTCCAAGCCTCAACCTAAAACTGTAGCTTTCCACTGTCTGTGACTTTCACTAAATCTAATTTCCTCACCCTTCATCTGAGCTGTGCTGAGTGAGAGAGGGAGTTTACAATATACCTTTGCATTCTCAACAGTTATCACAGTGACACACAGGCCTCAGGCCAACAGACCTCTCTGTGGCCAGCCATTGACTGTGTGCGTGTGGTGCTATTTCTTGCCCCTACTCCTTGACAGAGAGAGTCCAGAAGCACTACTTGTATCCCGGTGTGATGGGGCTAACCGTGACTTTGGGGATTAGGTGCTTGCTGGCCAGATCCATGACTCTTGCTTTATGGTGGTCCCTCAAAAAAGACAAATGAACTGAGAGACCCTTTCCTATACCAGCCAGTTGGATTTCTGAATTTTAAATAAAAACTCTTGACCTGCTTGTGGTGTTGCAGTTAAGCACAATAGCATGTGTTGTGCTCTGGCGATTTGTCAAATTCTGAATGCTATATGTTGCATTGATGAGGGACAAAAGTAATCACACTGGCAAGAGAAGCAGTAAATATCTTAGGACAGGAGGAGAAGCTAAGGATGAGTGAATGGCTTAAATGTGGCCTAATCTAAAGGACCCTTCTTTGCAACACAGGGAATTCAGGTCCTAAAGAAGGAAAAGGGGTGGGAGTTGGAGTCACTAAGCATCTACTGTTTTTTCTTCAGTGTATAGAAATGGGTATTCATGTATATAAATACATACCTAGCTGCACATTTCAAACATTCTGTCTTAGAAACCCTCTCATATCATGAGAGAGCCCCAAGGAGGGTGGAGAGAGATGTGCATATTTCCTAGCTGGTGGACATAGGTTGTGTTCTGTGGTTGGATAACCTCTATATTCGGCCATCCCAGAATGTTTTTCTTTTACATTGTTGCAAATGCTTTGGCTTTTTTTTTTTTTTTTTACCTTTTGCATTAATTTCATACTCTACTGCTAGTTCAAACCACCAGCTTTTAACTAACCAATGGGTCAGTGATTTAACAGTGGTGTATGTTAGCCATATTCATTTGCTGAGTGACCAATGTGATGTATGTACAAATCCTATTTATGTGTTCTGTAAAAATGTCTACATCACTCTTGGGGAACAATTCATGTTTAAACCATTACATGTATATTTATATTGTTGATTAACATTAACCAAATAGGACATTATCTGGACAACCACTATTCTCCAACAGTGTGTGATAGATTTAAATGGTTAAATTTAGGTTGATGCTTTTAGACACTTCCTTCCCTACATTAAATTAGTTCCCATGAGAGAGAGAGAGAATGTCATTGTGAATCACTCCTGCCAGGAATCCTACCTGTACAAAAATAGATTTTCTATCTCAAGGGCCTTAATGAGAGTGTTACTACACAGGACTATTTTACAATGATAGCTCTAAATAATTTATTTTTTAGTTCAACAAATTACACCTTTAAAAAAGTAATAAAGTTGGTTTTCAAAACCATATTTTTATGCTAGTAGCACTGGACTGTTCAGTCTCTGAGCTCCATCTCTGCATTTCATTGCCTGGGTTTGTTCTAAAGAAGATTTATTTTTGTTCTGTGAATAATTTTTCCAAGGTTCTTGTATATGTACAGATATAGATACATTTGAGGTCTTTTATTGATATTCCTACAAAGAATACAAATAAACTTTAACTTTAAACAGTCTGGACTCAATCTGCCTGCATTGATTAAAATCTTACTGCTCTCACTGCTGGGTGATTGTACATATGTGTTGGGGCAAATTTTTTTTTTTACTAGTGGGAGGAAATTTGCAAGGCAACAGTATAATTCAACCTCTGGGACAGTTTGCATTGCAACTCCTTGAGCTATCCAAGTAGGGTTGCCAGGTGTCCAGTTTTTGACCAGAACACCTCCTAAAAAAGGGACCCTGGTGGCTCCGGTCAGCACTGCTGCCCGAGCCGTTAAAAGTCTGACTGGTGGGGCTAAGGCAGGAACCATTGCCAACGGGAGCTGTGGGGGTGGTGCCTGCAGGGGGAGGCAATGCACTGGCTGCGCCTCCGCCTAGAAGTCGAGGGACATATCGCTGCTTCCGGGGAGGCCCCAAGGTAAGTCCTGCCTGGAGCCCACACCCCCTCCCACACCTCAACCCTCTGCTCCAGCCTTGAGCTCCTTCCCATACTCAACCTCCCTCCTGGAACCCACACCCTGACCCCCTGCCCCATCCCTGATTCCCCTCCCAGGGCCGGCACCCCACATTCCTGCCCCAGCCCAGAACCCCCTCCTGCACCATGATCCCCTCATTTCTGGTCCCATTGTGGAGCCCGCACCCCCAGCCCAGAGTCTGTACCTCCTCCCACACCCCAACCCCCTGCCTCAGCCCAGAGCCCCCCACACACACACACACACGCACTCCAAACCCCTTGACTCCACCCCGCAGCCCCCTCCTGCACCCCAAACACCACATTGCTGGCCTGCACCCTACCCCAGCCCAGAACCCCCTCCTGCACCCTGAACCCCTCATTTCTGGCCCCATCCCAGAACCAGCACCCCCTGCTGGAGCCCTCATCCCTCCCCATACCCCAACCCCTTGCCCCAGCCCGATGAAAAGGAGCAAGTAGCAGTGGGGGCAAGCGAGGGATGGGGGGAAAATGTGGAGTGCACAGGAAACGGAGGTGGTCTGTGGCTGAAGAGTGCATCAGAGATTGGGCTTTGAAATTGCAGCTTGCTGGTGAACACAATATGGTTTGTCATTTATCTCTCACGCTGCTCTCCATTAGAGATCAGTGGAACCAGAATTCTATCCACTGACCTGAGTTTGGAATTCTGGTACTGTGCTTGGCCTCAGTTCTAAAGTTTGTCCCCTTTTGCCGCGCTCTGCTTCCCTATGTAGTAATTCTCCCTGGTTTTGAATCTTCTTGCCCACATGGAATAGTCCAGCTAAACCGTATAGAGAGAGAGAAAGGGTGACACCCTGTGGTGAAACAGGAGAAGTACTATCCACTCCAACAGTCTCTGTAAACTTTACCCTTTCTCAAAGTTAAAGAAATCATCTCTTTAAAAAAAAATTCCTTTATCTATGTTACTAATAACACCGTCAGTAATGAAAACACTCTCAACCATCTGATTTTCTTTGCATTAGTTATTTTGGACACTTTGTGCATTTCTGTAATCTTGGACCATGAAAGCAACCTCAGTTTCCCTTGTTTGTACTAAATTTCTAATTTGCAGGTTCTCTTACACTAGCCTACCACAAAGCTGCATCCTTTGAGCTGCAGCCACTTCAAGGGGATGTTTATTCATAGATGCACACAGAGTAGTGGCTTTTTGGTAATGTTATCGTTATCATTCCATATACATGAATTACAAGAGAATACAAAAAGCGGAAAATCCCTCCCACTGGATTTGTCTCATGGAAAACTTTGTGTTGGGCATAGATTTGGTAAAAGCTTATTTTTAAAATTGTCATTTTATATACAGGGTTTTAAAGGCTTTCAAACTATACACACAGTGAATGTATGCAACTTTGTTCTCCTATTTCTTGTCACCACCTTGACACTACCATCTCTGTTCTGTTCAACATTTACCTGTTGGTGTCTCGTCCTTATTTAGACTGGAAGCTCTCTGGGCTTGGGCCTGCCTTAATATACCTCTACATTGCCCAACACAAGGGGAGCCTAATCCTGAATGGGGATTCTGGGCACTGGGGCAAAACAAACAATGTTCTGGTGATACACTGGTTGAGAATTCCCTCTTCCATGTCCTCCACAAGAAACGCTATCTAATTTCCTTGTACCGTTCCTCAGCAGTTACCTACGCTTACTCTACATCCCTGTCTCCCTGCCAGAAATGCTAACTTTATTTTTTATCTATGATCTGCCCATACACATTCTGGTTCCACTGTCCAAAATTATTTGTACCAAAAGGAGCATTTTTTCCCTTCTTTAGAGAACTCCATGTTCTCTAAAGAGTCGTTTGGTCTGGTCTTGTCACAGTTCGTAGCTGACCCATTTCAGCTGGAATGACCCTATGGGAAAACTCCCCTTTAGTATTTCTTCTACCTGAAGAATGTAAGAATAAAAGTTTTATGGTTATATTGATACTAGGGTACATGTTTCTACTTAACAGAAAAGCTGCAGCTGTCTAAACCTGTGGGATACAAGCTTGCTCACACGTAAGCAGTATCCTCCTGAAAAGAGAATTCTCACTGTCTCTAGAACACCAAACATTCCTGTCCTTCACCTTCTCTCCCAGCCCTGCACATTAAATACCTCCATATCCTTAGAAGGTGTATTGAATTACTGCTTTTCAGTGCAGTGGTGTAGATTGAATATCCTGGCTGTAGACACATAATATTGTTTCCCTCTCAGTTCTTCCAGTAGCAAGTAATGAATACTTCGGTTTGTTTCTATGGAGCCAGAGTAAGGATCAGTTCTCTGCTGTCCTTTATAAGATCAGTGGGAACCACAGTTGCCAACTTTCACATGGTAAATAAGCACCCCAACTTTCATAATAAGCCAAAAATTAAGCTAATCCCATTTCAAAACAAGGCCAAAACAAGCCAATCCCTAAGAACTCACCACTCTGTGACTAGATTCCCCCAGTGTGCAGTCTGGGACTGGGGTGGGCCTGCTGGGCACCCCGACACTCTTCCCCCCCCCTTGCCCCTGCTTGCTGGGAGTTGATCCAAAAAACAAAAAAAAAAGCAACAAGCCAATTAAGCCAAAAACAAGTCCAATTTCTGTGGGTTTTTTGTGGGTTTGGCATGTCTGGTGGGAACCTGTAACTATCCTGATGTAGCAGAACGCCAGGTTCTGTGACTCAGACCAGCTTTCCAGTACTTGCAGGAAATCCCCCTTACTACTTAGCCCAGTGTCAGAGCAGTGCAGCTTTGTCTGACCAGGGCATGGGGCTGCCATCTGAGTCCAGAATTCTGTCACAGCAGTTAGCAGGGCTGGGGACACAGAACAACTACCGCTACAGCGTTCCACCATTGACATCTGCCAACTATAGACCCAGAGTTTGTGTTGATGGTTACAGAAGGGACCTTGTGGGAAAGGAACATCCCAGTGATGAGATACTGGAAGTAAAGGGAGGTGAGGAGGAATGGACGTGAATAGGGATGAAACACTACTATCATGGAGCTGTCTGGTAGAGCCTCTGTCATTCTTTCTTCCCTGTTGCCCAGGCCTCAGATTGCAGAGGGACTAATGTGTAGATAGCAGCTGTAGTTGCAGGGGAAAAGGGATGTCTCTCACTCATGAGGTGTGCCCAAAAGGAAGAAAATTTTCATCCCCCAATGAACATATTGCTCTGGCTCACATTTGTACACAACTCCCTTTCCCTCTCCCACCAGCTCATTTTTCCTGTGTGTAATTTAGGTCGGTTTGCAAGCAGGTACCACACTGAAGCCCACCAGAAACTCTGTTTGCAAACTGCTATTACAAGAGGAGACCCTCTTTGAGAAGGACTGCATCTCACCTCATTCAGGAGCTGCTGTTTTATATCCTCAAGATCTACCAGGGCAGGTGAGACAAAATCCACTTTCAGAATCATGTACCCAGTATCCACACAGGAGAAAAGTGTCGCATGAATGGTGGTGTAGTCCAGTGCTAAGCAAATGTTGCTTTTTCTCATATATTGTACAATGCTAATGCCCCCTAATAAGAAGTTATAATGTATCACACCTGTGCAATCTACTCACTGCTTAAAGGGTTGGGATGCATGATGCTTCCAGAATGGCTGCAGTCCATCTCCTCAAGATTGCTGGGCTTCTATTTTCATGGAAGTACACACACGTTGAGGAAGGCAACTGAATTAAGAAAAGCTTGAATGGGTGCCTGAGCATGAAATGAGTGCCCCTGCCTGTGGAAAACTGTCAGGTCTGAGCTGAATGCTTGCTTCCAATGCCATTGTTAATTCCAGCGCTGCTGTCCCCGCTTGTGTCACTCACTGGCTATCCCTGACTGAGAGTTACCCCTCCAAGCAGAGACTGAAAGGAAGAGGGTATGTTCTTATCTTCGTAGGTGGGAACTTACACACAGAGTGTACATGCCCTCAGTATGTAAAACTTAAGATGAGATTAGACTATACAATGGGTGACAGCTTCCTACTCAATTGCTTTTCTCAGCTATGTCCACACAATGGCAAGGTTAAAGGCTGTCACTTGGGGAAATAGCCGCAGATATCAAAGCTAGATGGGAGATGTTTCCTGTAAGCAGTTATGGCTGCCCCTCCGCATCTGCCTCTCAGGGAGGCCATGCCTCCTCACAGTCTGAGCTGCCAGAATATGCTCAAAACAAAGAGAGGGGGAATTAGCGGTACTCAAAAGGCCCTGGCCTTCAAGCAGGAAGGGGCCTCAAACAGTCTGGGCTCTGGCTAGCAGTCAGGACAGAGCAGTACCAAGTTATAAGCCCAGCCCTCATGGAGGGCAGTAAACAATCAGGCCTCTGGCCTACAGTCAGGCAGCCTTCAAGCAGGGCAGGACAGGACAGCAAATAGTCAGGACCCTTGCCTGCAGTCAGGCAGAGCTGTAGCAAGTATAAGCCCAGCCCTTAAGCAGGTGGAGGAGGAGGGAGCATAAGCAGGGTGGGGCAGTAAACAAGCAGGGCTCTGGCCTGCAGTCAGGCAGAGCTGTATCAGTTTATCTGTGCAGCCTTAAGTAGGGCAGGGCAGCAAACTGTCAGGGCTCTGACCTGCAGTTAGGGCGAAGCGCCCACGGTCTATAACCCCAAACTCTCGGTCAGGGCA